AAGTTCTGTTTTTAAGTCAACGGAGATTCTGTTGTGCAAGGAGATTATTTCACTGAGATCACGCTCAATGTTTTCCCCTTAAATAATTATTTAATTAAGAGTAAGCACTTATAGGAGCTGGTTATGTGTGCCCCAGGAGGGCCTCCTGACCCCAGGGGTCGCTCCAAAGCTGATGAAATAGAATAAATAATTTTTCTGCCATGAGCCGGGATTTGAACCTGGGACATTGAACATTGGAAGATCAGTTCCCTACTACTGAGCTACAACACACTCCGGAACTTAGAAATAAAAGAAAATCTTGCGGTTAAGCATGGATGCTCTACGTTTACCTCCTTGTAAACCGTTCCTCAATAACAGTATTTACTTACTTACTTGTCAAATATTTAAACATGAATTGTAGTAAAAAAAAAATGGTATTTCTCCGAAAAATTTTCTAGAACAAATTTTTTTTGTCGAGTAAACTCTTCTCAGGAACTATCAAATTAAATGACAACTTTAAAACCAGATTCCAATGACAAAAAAAATTAAAATTAATATGGACAATTGATATTTCATTTTTCCTGTTGTCAATAATCAGAGACCGTCTCAACAATGAATTAAAAAATTGAATAGTTTAATATGTAATCGTTAATAATGTTAATGACCCGCTCGGGTAGATACGGAATGTAAAATAAATAAAAAATACAAGAAAAATATATTAAACTAAATCAATTATAATCCTTGGGGACATAGAACTAATGATCAAAAACATGAAAAAATTACAGAAGAAATAATCCAGAATATATGTATTTTTGTTTTCTTTGAAACATGAGGTGACCATTCGAATCAATTCTTATTTACCAAATGTATTCCGTTAATTTCTATGAGAGGCTACTCCGCAATGTCAGATAATGCCTATTTTTTTTTTTTTGTCTCTACCCGCCATTTCTTGCACAGGGGTTTCGGCGATGGTGGGTTAATACGTTGAAGATAGGTACATCCGCTACTGTCAATAAAATACTTTATTGTAAATTTTCTTGTTATAGAATACCATGGATGTATAATTATGGAAACAACGTATTAGGGTTCAACGTGGTGCGGCCCGGTTCACGGATATTCACCTTACTGACGGAGCCGCACCTTATCCAATATATATATATATATATATATATATATATATATATATATATATATATATATATATATATATATTTATGTCTGTAATTTTATTTTATTACTAATCATCCGGTAAATATGTAATTGTATTTTATGGACACACCAGAATAATAATATATATACTGTATTTGTAATTTGTTCTAATGGGACACTAGTCCCAGAATAATAAAATTATTTTCATTCATTCATCCGTACAATGCCCAGTTAGGGTGGCTCTTCTCCATCAGAAGATAATACTCCCTCGGCACATCCCTGCAGTTAGAAAAAAAATACAGAACACATTGAAATAATTCATTTTCGCCTATTAATAAATTAACTGTATTGAACAAACATTGGATGAAATACAGCCCAAATATAAAATAATATAAAACATCTTAAAAATCAATTTATTTTTTTAAGGGGAGAGATGACATCATTTCCGAGGACGCCGAAAGTCTACAGCCGGAACTGGTGAGACATAGTTAACTGATATATTTCATAAGCTTAGTCACTAATAAAATTACTGATTTCCAATATTTTAATTTCAATAAAGTCTAAATACAAAGTTGTACAAAGAATACACAAGAGGGCCCGTAACGTCTGGAATTAGGGATGATAATAACAATATTCTGACCGATCCGGTTGACATATTAAATAAGTTTAAGGACCACTTTGACAATATTTTAAATACGGGAAATTATGATCTGTGTCCTCCTTCTGAGTACCAGAGTGCCGAACCGTTAGTAGAAAGAAGGACCAAGTAAAGAGGAAGTTGAAGTAGCTATCGGAAAATTAAAATCTTATAAAGCAGCGGGAACCGATAATATTCCTACTGAAATAATTAAGGTATGCGGGGAAGCTGGAGTTTCTAAAATACATCGGTTGGTTAAAAAGATCTGGGTGAATGAGAAATTACCTGAGGAATGGAAAGAATCTATTCTTATTCCGATTCACAAAAAGGCCCCGAGGACGGATTGTAATAACTATCGAGGAATTTCACTCCTTCCGGCATGTTATAAAATATTCACTTTAATCTTAACCAGTCGAATCACGGAAAACGCCGAGAAAATTATCGGAGACTACCAATGCGGATTTAGACGGAATCGGTCAACTATTGATCAAATATTTTCTTTACGGCAAATATTAGAGAAAAAAATGGAGTACAACGGTATTGTTCACCAGCTGTATATAGATTTTAAAAAGACTTACGATTCTATTGACCGCCAGAAACTGTATAATATTCTAATCGAGCAGGGGATTCCAAAAAAACTAGTAAATCTAGTCAGGATGTGCTTGACGAAGTAACTCAATGAAGTTAGAATCGGTAATAATCTGTCGGAAAAAATTGAGGTTCGCTCGGGTTTAAAACAGGGGGATTCCCTTTCGCCTGTACTGTTCAATTTGTCATTAGAACATGCCATTAGGGAGGTAATGAGTACCGAGAAAGGGTTGGATCTGGGTGGGACAACATCCGTGCTGGGCTATGCTGATGATCTGGTACTGTTAAGCGAAGACGTTGAAACTATAAAGCTAAATACGACAACGTTAATGAAAGCCGGTAAAAAACTAGGACTCGAAATAAACGTGGCTAAAACAAAATATATGGTTAGCTGCAAAAATGGCGATACTACTGGTGATATCGATATAGATGGTAATATGTTTGAACAGGTAGATAAATTTAGGTATCTAGGTTCTACGATAACTAGGAAAAACGAAATTGAAGAAGAGATTAAGGTTAGACTGAAGGCGGGAAATGCTTGTTATTTTTCTGTGACAAAACTACTCAGTTCGCGCCTCTTGTCCCGGAACTTAAAAATTAGAATCTATAAAACAATTATCTTGCCTACAGTTCTTTATGGATGCGAAACTTGGCCGCTTACACTAAGGGATGAGCAGCGTCTTAAGGTTTTTGAAAATAAAGTATTGCGTAGAATATTCGGACCGAAGAAGGATGAGTTAACCGGAGAGTTCAGACGGTTACACAACGCCGAATTGCGTGAACTGTATCCGGGTAATATAATTGAGGTAATTTCGTCGCGGCGAATCAAATGGGCTTGTAAAATTGTTGGGCTTAGTAACGAGAGAATTCCTAAAAGATTAATATTTGCTGTGCCAAATGGTAAACGTCCGAGGGGTAGACCGAAGCGAAGATGGGAAGATTGCGTTAGAGCCGATCTGAAGGGACTGGGTTTGGACGGCGAACGGTGGAGGAAGGTGTCTAATAAGCGATTGGTGGTGTCGGCATCGAACCTTCGGGTTCGCTAAGCCTTTTATTATTATTATTAATAAAGTCTAAATAAAAGGTCAGTTCCTACCACAGTGATTTTGCAACTTGTCATGTATCAATTAGCATAATTTAGTTGTTTTTACTTTCCTAACTATACTAGGTAAGGAAAGTATTGCAATCGGGTCAAATTTCCGATATGCGGTTTTCGACGGATCTACACGTTTCAGAGCCTCCTGAGGTCCAATCGTTCATTTTGGACAACTATTAACTAAGTTACAGCTACTCAATTTCCAATGTAAGATTACGAGTTCATGTCCTGGTATCAGAAAGGGGTGAATGAGAGAATTTATTCTTATATGATTAAAGAAGTCATTTTTAGATGACTAAATGAAAGTAAGAAAATCCGTTACCCGTATCACACAATATTCACTATTTAACAATCTTCACCTCAACTTTTAACAGAAATTATTGTTTGGCAATACTAAGCTATGGCAAAAAGTTTTTGATGAGCAATATTAGAGAGTATTGAAATGTTTACACTGATCTACCTTAAGCGGATTTAAATCTTTTGTTTGATCAATTTTCAGGAAAATAAATCTAGTTCAATTCGTTTTTATTTTCTTATGAACATATGTAAAGATATAAAAACTTTTCTGAAATAGGTAGGAAAGTCGTGCAAGTGGACACACCAGATATATTTTTTTTCTTTTTTTTTGTTTGTTTTTGAATTCTTAAACAGCTTGAAAAGAACATTGTTGTTTATAATTTGTTAAACATTGTTTAAATATATTCATAAATATGTTATTTCTTAACAAGTTTTAATAATGCTTATTTTTATAGGCTAAAGTATTATCCAACAGGTACCGAAATTTCTTACTTCTAGACAATAACTAGTGTTGCCCAAAATTTGGTCTTGCACTTTGCAAGACCAATGCCGCCTAACTGTTGCAAGAACAAGACCAGGACTGGTAAAAAAAAATCGATTTTTTAAATAAAATTTAAAGAACAATAGTTACTAATACTTAACAATCTTAGTTATTATATGTTAATAATTGGTATGACCAATAGAATTGCATTCAACTCCTCTAATTTTTCATTCCGGCTTAGTTAAGTTTCCTCTATATAAAAAATTACAGTAATAGCTCTATAGTAATATAAGCTAATAAGTAACTGCAAGACTGTTGCAAGACTCTTGCGCAAGACCAAGACTGAGTTTGCAAGACCAAGACTCGCCTCGGTCTAGGATTTGGACAACACTTACAATAACTACCTTGAGCCAACGCGCATCAAGATGATACTGGAATCAAAATGTTCTTTAAGCCCTATTATAATGATAAATATAATGATGTCAACTACGATAACCTACGGTTTTGGTAATTATATGGCAAATTCAGTTGTTCAAAATTGTGGTAAATAAATATCCTACGCATAAATAAATGTATACCTAATATAATTTATTTCTCTCCGTCATTGAAAACCGCAGAAAAAGTTTAGAAATAAATAAAATGTCTGGGTTCCTGGGCATTGTGGAATAATCGGTAATGAACTGGCTGATCGAGCTGCCAAAAACGCCATTACTGATGGAATACCTTATCGGGGAGTACCTGTAGAGGTTTTTATAACTGTCATCAAACAGAAAATGAAGACAAAATGGGAACAGATATGGTCGAATGTAACCGAAAGTAAATTGAGGTTAAGGGTGACGTTTCCTCTTGGGCATCATCAAATAGGAATAACCCCAGAGAGGAAGTAATTCTTACGCGCCTGCGTATAGGCCATACACACCTTACCCGATGGCCCGTGATTCTTCACATGCCAAACTTGTGGGACTCCTCTGACAATGAAACACATTTTAACAGAATACAGACCTTACGAAACATTTAGACTCTGTTGTGACTTGACAAACGATCTACACTTCATTTTACAGGGCAGTACGAATGAAATTGATAAACTATTTTCTTTTCTGAAACGTTCTAAACTCGAAAATACAATCTGATTCTCAGTGAAAATAAGGCAATAATGACCCAAGTGGTTGAAGCCTTAAAATATTAAAAAAAAAAAAAATATTTGGAGGAATAGATTCGAGAGAAATTCAAACGAATTCTGTGGCTGGAAATTGATATCGTGATGTTTTCAGCTCACGACCATGAATTTTGTGTAATCCTCAGTTACTTGCAGGCCGATTTGCTCTGCTTCTCTTGTCACATTTTTTACGAATCCCCGCTCTCACCCTTCTAGATCCTCCAATAACTCCGGTGATTTTTGCCTCTTTGCCCAGCCAGTGGATCTCACCTCAACAAGCTCAGCTATTATTGTTGTTAACTTATTATCTGCGGCCTGCTAATAGGACCATTATCTGCGGCCTGCTAATAGGACCAGCGCCGCAAAGCTATGGCAACGCCTTTGGAAGGAAGCAGACGTCGCAGCTGAGACGACATAACAGACTGACAATGATGTACGCCCGGAATGCACGGGTTAGCTGCATGGCCCCCGTGGCACGACCCCAACTCCGGTCCCCGCCAACAACTGTTCCAACACCACCTTCTTGTCCTACAATATTTAGAACAATGCCTTATTTCGGTTGGTTGTCAGTCGAAATGGGTCAGTTGTGCCTATGTTATAAGTTCATCTATCGCTACTCTCAATATTAATTTATATTTTAATATAATTTTTAAAAAATGCACTTTTGTTTATGATAGTGATGAATAGCTCATTTATCACTCAAGAATCGGCGGAATCTCCCTCCCCCCACATCTCTCACCCTCCCAGACACATTTAGACCTAAAAAATGAATTATATGGCGAAAATAAATATTTTTATTGTTTCCAAGTCGACAAAAATTTAATTATGGTAAGAATTTAATAGATTTGAATGTTGAAAAGTTGTCGGATGAAGTTGATTTATTAATATCAAACTAAAATTTGTTATAGAGTTTCAAAAGCCATGAAATAATAAATAGAAGAGAATTATAATTAAGTTTAAATAAAAAAAGACTACAGAAATGAGCCTACCTTCTTAAGGAAATGTACTCGCATATCTAGCATATCTGGTTTAGTCATAATGTGGAAGGAACGCGACAACTACATCAATTTGTGATGAATAGGGTGATATCTGTAGTTTTTTTTTAAATCTAATTCAAATAAAATGCACATTTGTTCATGATAGTGATGAATAGCTCATTTCTCACTTAACAATCGGTGGAAGTCTCCCCCCCCCCCTCTCTCTCTCCTTTCCAGACACAGTTAGACCTAAAAACTTAATTATACGTTGAAAATAAATATTTTTTTGTTTCCAAATTCAATTATAGTTAGAAATTAATAGATTTGAATGTTGAAAAGTTGTCGGATAAAGTTGATTTATTAATATCAAACTAAAATTTTTTGTAGAGCTTCAAAAGCCATGAAATGTTAAATAGAAAATAATTGTAATTCAGTTTAAATAAAAAAAGAATGCAGAAATGAGCCTACCCTCTTGAGGTATGTACTCGCATTTCTACTTAAACTTCTAAGAACATTATGATGTCCGCGAATATTTAAACTTGGTTTAGTCATAATGTGGAAGGAACGCGACAACTACATCAATTGGCGATGGATAGCGTATCTGTATTTGTCGTTTTTTTTTTTTTTTTATAAATTAAATTATATTTTTATTTTAACGCTTTCAGTTATTCAAGTAATGATAATTTATGTTCAGCACATATGATTACGAACTTATAAAAAAATTTCTCAAGATATCAAAAATTTTTTAGTGACTTTTTTGGCATACGTGATTTTAAATATTTCAACGGTATGGGTATCTATCCTACTGAGTTATTATTTTTTAGAGTTTTCCATATACAGTATATGATTTAACGATTGACATCTCTTTTCTCAAAATCCTTCATAACTGAGAGGTTGAAAAGTTTACTGTGCATAGCAGATCCTAAACAATAACTTAGTTTTCCAAGCAAGATTCGTCCATCCACGTTTGAGGATAGCTTTCGAACGAACACTTTAGACGTGTTTTTTTTTTTTAACCAGAAATTTTTACTGATTAAGATCTCGAACCACCCCTGGGTATTTTCTAGACAGAACTGAAATATTATTATTTTTTTAAATATATTGATTCACTTCAACGCTTTGAACAATTGTGATTATATTTAATCACAAATCGTCTGAAACCGCCCAAAAAACTATTCAACTCCTGTTGTTGATAATGATTGGAATTTCTAAAATTTTCAGACCTTGCTCAAACCTATCATATGCCTTGTGATTGGAGTTTTAACACGCGCGAATCGAAGATTTAATAAATACATAATAATTGATATTGTTGCCTCACACTGCTTAGCGATAGACGAGGATAGATTAAGAAAACAAATAATTATATTATTTTTCTTTAAAAGGGTAAACAGGTTAGGACAAAGTTTTCATAAAGTTTTTCATATAATGAAAAAATCACGAGTTTAAGGGTATATTTTTTAACAAGCATAAGAAATATAGATAGCTTATTTTTTTGTAATTACATATATAATTTTGTTAGTGTAAATAGGCATATTTCATAATAACGTCGACAGCCGCACTGAAAAAAAAACAGTAAGAAGAAAAACTAAAAATTTTCAGGAGTCACAAAAACAGCGTTATTTTTCTATGAACATTATATTTTCGGCTAATTTTTTTTTTCTTTTTTTTTTGGCTGGCCTAAGACATAGATGTAATTTTTTTTATCGTATTTCTGCAAAATAATCTTTTAAAGCCAGTACTTCTAAGATAGCTTTTTACTTACTTTAACAGGTACTAGTTAGGTGAAAGCAATTAAATTTATTGTAGTAACACTCGTAACTTTGTTAATAATGCATGACAGGAACAAAGTCAGTTTCCAAAATGTAGAGAACTGATACTTCAAATGAAAATTTGTAAACATTTGACTGGAAAGGGAGTATTTCAACACCCGGGTTAATCACTTTTTGTCTCCCACTTTGGGAGTGGCTCGAACGGAGTGCACGCCCCCCCATTTTGGAGTAGTCTATGAAAGTTTCGTTTTTCACATACTCAACTTCACATGGACATATGGCAAGTTCTAGAGGTAACCTGCTGATGTACAAATCATTTCGTTTCTGAGCTTCTTGCGATTTTGAAGATTTATTGGTTTGAAAAGATGAAACTAGAGTTATTTTTTCGTCTATTATATTCCCACTTACCACTCTCTTATTCGCTTCGTTTCGATCCATGGTAAGCAGTGCCGGCCTCAGGGCATCAGAACCTGAGCATTTGTCCAGAAGCGCCCTGCTGGAAGTGCCCATCATTTATTAGAAATTTAAAAAAAGAATACTAAAAAGAAAATTAATTTTAGCCTACTAATAAAGCTAATTGATACTGTAGTCTATGAGCAAAAAAAAAGCTTTATACATTCTATATTTACATGACCACCTTTCATTAAATGCTCAATCATTACGTTTTTTCAATCTCTGTAACGATTACTTTAAATTACAATTTTTACATCACAATTTGCTGGTTTTTAAATTACAGGTTTTTACAAAAGGCCAAGAAGAAGAAATTAAACATCGTAGATTTCATTTTGTGGGATCAGAAAAGCTCAAAACCTCATTTTTCAAAGAAATTGTCCTTACAGTCTTTTGCAGTGTGGCTGTCGATATATATGATACACAGAAAATTATTGCATTTTCTGAACAATGTAATATTATAAATACAAACTGCCAGAAATAAAATATAAGCGGTCTATTGGTAATGAAAATAGTTTAGTCAGAAACCTGTTGAAAAAAAAGCTATAGTTAATTACATATATTTTTCACATATTAATATTACTCATTGAACGCAGAATTAAATGCTTCAAAACATTTACTTAGAGCCATTTTTTCTTCAAATATGTACTTTCCCCCAAAAAACACAATTACCGAGAAAATTCCATTAACTAGGCAAAAATAGAAAAGCAATTAAAAAAAAAAAAAAGTTTATATAATAAAGTCATTTTTTACTTTCACTTACCTATATCTGCAATATATAGTAAGTGTAAGTATTGCGATCGTGAAAATTTTCGAATCTGAGTTTTCAACGGAAATACACATTTTGAGGTTCCCTGAGTCCAAATAACCAAGTCCTTAAAAATGTTCTGTGTGTATGTGAACACTCTAGCTCGAAACCGAAAAGTTGTACGAAACTGATATTACATAGTTAAGATAGATATATACCTTAGATGTCCTGGCAACTTTTTCGTTAAAATCGGCTAACCGGAAGTGCCACTTTATATCAACGCTGAAACACATTTTTACAATTTTCTCAAAAACGGCTGTAACAATTTTGATTAAACTCGGTGTATTATTGTATAACTAAGTGGTATTTAATACCATTTAGGTCTTATCCCCGTTGATGTCACTTTACAGGGCTTAAATGCCCAATATTCAAAGTATCTTTAATATGGTTTATTTTAAATAATCAACTATCTTTCATTATTAAAAGTTACGAAAAAATGCTAAATATAACTTTTGGAAGAATTTGATAATTGAATAAAACAGAAAAAAATAAAAATACTTATCCAGGTCAAAAATGAATCTCCGGAAATACTGGTCAGAATATATAATGGATATGGAATAATATAATGGAAAGCGGAGAATATTAGAAGAACACAATATCTAATATAGAAAGTTGTAGTAGGTAACGAAGAGTGGCGAAAAAAATATAAACAACAACATCTTTTCAAGGAAATTAAATGAAATTTTCTTACAAATGTAAATTTTTTTTTAAAATTTAAAGTTTGAAAAAGTATTTAAAACACACGGATTCCAGGCAATTACATTGTTTAAGATACTATTTCATTGTACTTGTGAGAAAGAAGAAGTGAAATATAAAAATATTTCATGGATACGTTTATAACCTTAAATATATTTACTGTCGTTTAATAACTCCAGATCTGACATTATATTTAAATAATTAGGTACCTATCGTCCGTTTATTCCGAAAAATCATTATGTAACTTTTTAGAAAATTAAAGTAATGAATAATTTGATAACTTTCCCTTTTGCGATATTCCAACAGAATCCGCTTACAATTAGTGTGACAACTTTTGACCTGTGTATGACAAACAATGGACAAACGGATCGAACAATCCATAATCAACGAATCCTACAATCCATAATCAACAGGTAACATAATTTTAATAGTATTTATGATTTGTTAGCTGCAATATTTTAGCTTTAGCTAAGTAAAAAATGCAATTCAAAAATTGTATAATATCCCAACATGGCCAGAAAATAATTTCTAACCAAAGTTAAGCGGTAAGTGAAAGTTTCGTATTGCACGAACCAAATTTTTTATATATTTTACAGAATTTTACACAGAATGCTCTAAAAACTATTACAAAGAAGACAACTTTGCACGGATAAACACTTTTTGTTTATTTATCTTAAAGTCAACAGACAATTTCTTAATATGCATATTTTAAGAAATATTACTAAAAAATTAAAATTTACATTTACAAAATTAATTGGAGATGCCGGGGATCGAACCCGGGGCCTTTCACATGCAAAGCGAACGCTCTACCACTGAGCTACATCCCCTCACAGGGTCATATTTCGATTGTATGTGTTACTTATTTTGTTACTTATTTTTGTTAAAAAGTGATAAATCATAATACATATTAAAACTCTAATAACTCAAGTGGTAGTTAAAATTTAATATTAACTAAAATATTATTTGATGATTGCACTAATAACTTTATATAAAGATTTATATACTAAAAAAAAGTATTGTCTTAATTTAAAGATGGTATGAATTTATAAAATCATTTTTTCCGTCCATTATGACCCATGCATAGGGTAAAGTGAATCAGTTATGGAACTAATTGATACTTTAAAATAAAGTCAATTGTATCATATATACATAGGAATTAGAACAATGTTTTTTTGTATAAAATGGTAGCTTTTAAGCTAATCATGAACACTAGGTAAGAAAATCTTCAAATAAAAAAAACAAAATTTGTATCAGAAATGCTCAGTCCTAACATTTTTAGCATCAGGCATACTTAAATGTTCAATTCTTTTTCATTCAGCAAATCTTCCGAGAAAAATCCCTCTGAAAATAAAGAAGAGTTCTGGTATTATAATGCTTCAAGATCAACTGAAAGTTTAAGATTTTGTTCATTTTGTTTGTATTTTAAAATATAAAATATTTTATTTATTTTTTTTTTTTTATCTTGGGAAAATGTTTGTTATGCGATGTCTATAGTTTAATATGGTTTATTGTTGATAATTTATAAGAGTATTGTTATGAAAATGGAGAAAAAAAAGAAAGGAAAGATATGTCATATATATATATATATATATATATATATATATATAACATATCTTTCCTTCCTTTTTTTTTCTCCCTTTTCATAACAATACTCTTATAAATTATCAAATATATATATATATATAATAGTAATGTCTATATGGATTGATAAGTATGCTGTGTATGAAGCAACCCTATATAGTAGGGCAGCATTACTTTTAATAAAGTATTTCTCTCTCTCTTAGACCCCCTCATAGTTGTGAAAGACGGTTCCCTAGCATCATAAGATTCAATAGATTTATTAATGAAGATATCTATCTGCCTCTTTAGATACTTTACTGAGGGTAACCTAAGAGGTTGAAGTGTAGGTCTACTTTAACTTTTTTTTTTTCAATTTAGCCATTCAATTAAAAGTTTTTGAATGTTTTTTATTGAGGTTAGAGCCTGTGCTGGATCTTCGGTTGCATTTACAAATTTAGCAATTTCACTGATGCTCAAAAGAGAACTAAATTCTAACATCATTTTAGTCAGCATATTGTTACATGCAGTTCAAATAGTGAAAACTGCAATTATGTACAAATGAAACTGTTGGCAAAGTAAGAATTGCCTCACCATTGTCTTCAGCTAAATCTGAAACCGCCGAACCAATCCTATCTCCAAACCTTTTTTTATCCTGAACCATAAAACTATCCTTCTTACACAATTGTTATTCAAGGTTCTCTATTCTGTACTTCCAATCCCAAATTCTCTTAATGTTTTGATAAATAAAAACTTGCTGATACAGGTAAATAAATTTTCCTTTGATCTAGCCTTTTTCCCTTATTTTATTATTATTATTTTTTTTTAACCCTTTCTATATACTTAGAAGAGTAGAATATGCCATTTTACTAAACTAATTTTCTAATTAAAATTCCAACATCAATTTTTTTTTTTTTTACGGTTTGCACCATGAATTCATCATAATTTCCCTTTGGCCTTGTTTCCTTATCATTTTTAAAGATTTAAAACCACAAATTGACATTTCATTCATTGGTTTAGTTTGTCCATAAATACTTAGTTCACTTAGTCCCATAATGAGTAAAAACACTTTAACTAATCATGAAAAATAAGTAAAATGAATTTGAATAATTTGAATGTAATGACTAGAGTGTCATGTTAAATACATTAAAAATGTGTATTTAAAAATCCCTTTAAAAAGAGTTGTTTTTTTCTTATTTGTTTTTATGATTTCGTACAAAGTGTAAATAACAAAAAAACCACTGGAGAAAGAAAAATATTTTCTATTACTACCAGCTGACAGAACATTAAGAAATTTCTCTATTTTATTCAAGTTTTCCTCTCTGATTTATAATAAGTCCCATCTTCATCAAAATATAAAATATCCTGATTTTAACCACGGAACTTGTCACATTGTTCCATACTTCATATAAATCATAATTGAATGCTTAAAACAGTAGTTAGATTAGATTTTCTTTTCTATAAAGCAGATGAAGGATTAAACATCATAATATATTAATCTCTATTTTAACTTTAATTGAAACTTATTATTAACTATCATTATTATTCCCTATACTGACATTATTTTGTTCATTATCAATATTAATATAACTTTAATTTTAAATATTTAAACAATATCTAAAAAGAAATATTGAAAAACGATAAACTTCTAGCACAACTTTGAGAATTTGCATGAAAAACTTCTGGAATAATTGAATGAATCAATTACTCGCATTCTCATCCATTAAAAATTAATCCTGGAGCAGTAAAACCATATTGTATTGAAAATTTACAAAGCTATTTCATCAGAGGAAGTATTACTATACCACCCTAACTAGTACATATTACATATTACATACATGTAATTGTACATGTATGAGGGTGCATACACCCATTCACCATCAGACACCATGAACTTACTTTCAACTTGACTATCATTTGCATCTACATGCTTGAAAGGAAAACAGGTTGATATTTAAGGATTTGGGATGGACTTTGATAAAGGGATGGTTATCTGAACAGACCACTCTGGTACACCAAACTGACAAAATTAGTGCATTTGTTGACACCACAACTATATACTTTTCTGTTTTATTTCTATCATGTAGATATTATACTAATGTTATAGTTTGTACTTCATTGACATGCTTTTTTAATACAATGTTCTTTTAACACAGACATCTAATAAATCATCTATTATAATAACAATATCATTTAATTATTAACTATGTTTTAATTAATTAAGATTTTACATGCTATATTCTCCTTTATTTTCTATTTTTATTCATACTTATTTTCCATTTGTTTGTATCTTCTACCTATTTAATACTTGATATTTTAACTACATTGTCACTCACTATATCTCTGATATCATCTTTTTATTTCTGTATCTGATCTACTTATATTCATTTATTTTATTTTCACCATGTTTTGTATCTTTTATAGCCCTGAAGACGACCTGCAAAGTGGGTCGAAACGTCGGCAAAAATTTAATAATTACTATTTGTTTAATTTAGTATTTATTTGACTGCACCCCCCGATTAACTCCTTCCCAAATTAAGATTTCAGTTGATTATTGAGAAATTACTAATGCAGTTGTAAAGTAAAAGGATAAGTTAATACAAAACTCAGAAAATAAGCAAATTATTTTATTTTAATAATATTGTGATAACTCAATTTATTTACAGTTATACATATTTTAATTTTTTATTCCTTCCAAATCATAATTTGAAACTTTAATAAAAAATATTTTTAACGGTTACATTTTTAACTGCCACTATTTAAATTTGTAACCAGCCCAAGCTGCCAAAACAAGAGGAACAATGATAACAGCCCTGCAAAACAAAAAAAAAAAACAGTTAAAACAAAAAAACATAAATAAGTAATAATTTTGTATCTGAAGTAAAAAAAGATTACTTACACATAACAAGCTCGGACACTGTTGCTATGTCGAGTTAATGAATATTTTTCTACTTTTAATAAATCTGAATTATCAAAGTCGCTCAATATAGTTTTGAAGCTGAAAATAAAAATATTACATACACTTAGCTTATCTTACAAGTTTAAATAATTACAACTAAAGCACTTAATAACCTAAAAAATAAAATGATAACCAATAATACGGAAAGTAATAGCCCAAAAATGAAATTCCTTTTAATGTAGTTAGACTTAGATAAGTCAAATAGCTTGACATTATAATAACACTTTCATTTAATGAACAATAATAAAGTTTCATCATAAGAAGTGGATCAGTTATTATTTAATTTTAATTGGCTTTGATATTTTCATTCAATCAACTGCACATTTTTATTATGTTGATTTAAATGGTAATAACAAATATATAAAAGCAGCTATGATTTAAAAAAAACTGTAATAATTAATAAACCTTTTCTCTAATTTAAAAACGCCAAATGTGGGTATCACCCGATTTCTGGTATTAAAAAGAGAGAAAAAATTTGCTCTATGTCCACATTTTAAGTAATAGAAATAAGAAAAATGACTCCCTACATATCCTACATACAAGCCACTTAGAAATTTGAATTAGCAATATACACAAAAAGTGACATGTAAGTAAAAATATAAACAAAAAAATCATTAAATAAAGTAAAAATAGTCAGTTAACAATTTTTTAAGTTCAAAATAAAAATTATTTGTTTAGCACTAATCCAGATTGAACAATATTCTAAAAATAACTAAGAATACTGGACAACTATTATATATTTAAATATTTCAACAAATTTTAAGGAGAAAATAAGACATGTATTCTGATGATGAAACTCCAATAATAGATGCTGTGAACCTTAGCTTGTTCTAACCATTTTCTTGGAATTCACATAACTTTGAATGGAATGTGATAGATAAATTACTATAACTATATTATACCTTGAATAGTTAGGAACTGCAATCAAAGCTGAATTATTGTTAAGAAGTTTTTTATGAACAGGTTCATACTTTTTAAAAAAGGCATCCAACTGAAAAAAAAATAACATTTTTTTTGTAACTGCATTTATGAAAGCATAAAATTCATGAAGTTATATAAAATAACATTTCATTTTTTGTTAGTTATAACTTCTATATTAGAAGAAACTCAATGATATACGAAAAGGAGTTAGGGAGAGATGAGAAGGAAAGGATTATCGGTGAGATTAGTTCTTCTAAATTTTTGATAATGTAAGAAGGAGACTAAGAAAATATTGCATTGCAAGGGAAGGTGAAAGACATGGTTATAATGAGAGATTATCTCTAGAACAAGTTTTAAGTATCAATTCATTATTAACTGTTTGTTTAGTTCCTGTCAATACAACAGACCACCAAACACCACAATATTATAAATAAAATTGAGGAATGTTCAGTAATAGGAATAGTTGGTGAATTAATCATAACAGATCATTTAATGAGTCAAAGAGTGAAAAAGGTGAGCCTGGTAAAACCACTACTCCAGTTGGAAGAGCACTAAAGCATAGGTCTTCAGCTTTTTTGCTTTCTTCTTATTAGCTGTAGCCCAGAAATGTATCACTTTAAAGTCATGTTCAATCTTTATGTAGCGTCTTTTAGTTTACACAGTTAATAGGATTTTTGAAGTCCATGGATGAAAAAATATCAGAGATAGTTCTTGTTAAGGATGATTGTATATAAAACCAGTTCTGAAACTGGATTTAAAAATATTGATATTTTCGATCCTTTAAAGAGGATAATTATCAAAACGATTAGCTAAATCTCTAAATAAGAAATTTTGACTGAACAATAATCCAAAATGTGAAAATAAATCGATATATCAGGACATCCAAATGAGATTGGTCAAGGACATTGTTAACCAAAACTTTTTCTAAACAATGGAAAATAAGAGTACACTCACATAATATTATTAACCTTAGTTTAGATCAGGAACCTCCAAAACTACGGCCCATGGGCCGGATCCCACAAGCACCTCTCATCCAGTCAGCATAAGTTTCTTTGATCACACGATAAAGTTTTAAAAATATTTTTAAAAAATGAAATTTAGTGCAACACTCTAACAAGAGGCTACTACAACATTTATTGCATCAGGTGTTTATCTTATAAAGCCCATTTCACAATTGAAGTGTCATTTATAGAACAAGATTTTTTTTCATCAGAAGCAATGGCCCACAGGACTTGGGGAGGTCTCAATGTGGCCTGCAGGCCAAAGAGTTTGAAGACTCCTAGTTTAGATTATTTTATATGGTTAGATTTGATGTTTAGTTGATCAATATTAAACATTAAAAAAAAAAAAAACCATTATTGTTTGTAGTATGTATAGTTGGTCCATCATATTTTGTTAGACTGTGTATAAAATAATAACCACTTAATATTGATGTTTGAGCAGGATTCAATGGAAAGATGAATGTTACAGATGGGAATATACAAGTCAAGTCAAGTCAAATTATTAATGATGTAATGTACTGCTCTATTGATTGGCACTATATCCTAACCAATTGAGAAAGAACTTTATACAATATTGACTGTCTTCCAATATCAGAATCAGAAATCTTTGAGCCATTATACTAATATAGCATATTCTAAATCTAATATTTTGGGTGTTTTAGGGGAGTGTAAATTAGTTCATATTTTCGGTTGCAATTTAATTGTCTAAATCATATTGTTTTAAAAAGAACATACGTTTTTATTAGTTATGATATAAACAAGTTTTTGGATGATTTAATAAATGAATTAAAACATTTATTTTGAATTATATTTTAAAAATATAAGAACTAATACCTTCCTTTCTTTCCGAAAGACCACCACATCCGTATTTGGATGCATTTATAACCTGTTGTTATATACATCAATATCCGGGTTAACAGCTTTTAAATAGGCATTTTTCTTTCTCCTATTAATGCGATAAACCTGAATATTATAAACCTCTCAAATATAGCAATGCTCATTGATCTTAATCCATGTACACCAATCGTATCTAAAGGTCAGTACCACTTTGATCAGGAAATGCTGCAACATACTTGTTAACTTTTTTTTTTATAATTGAATCTTATTATTAATACTGGCAATTCCAAGGTTCTAAATGCCTCTCTTATAACAAAAAACATCTACCCATGAGATTAAAGATTTCAATATATAAAGCAGCTGAGAGTTTCAGTTTTTCAAGAATGCAGTGATCTAAAAGCCTATCTTTTTCACAACTTATTCCAATATGAAAAGGTATACAAAACATTCCAATTTTTTTTTTTTCAATACAATTGTAGCTACTAAGCCTTTTAAAAAACTTCCAAGAACTCAGACAAAACATTTGCATCTCTCCATAGTTAAGGGGTGGGATGGCCTAATGGGCTAATGAATGTGCGGTGCTGTATTACCCGGTAAACCCGGCAGCAACGATAATTTCATAAAATAAATAGTTTGCATCCTGGTGCCTGGGGAGCGAGGGAGTGCTTTTAACTGGCATTAATCTCCCGCCCTCACCACCTATCCCAGGAAAATCCCATCTAGTTCAAAGACGAGAATGGCGAGGACTTGGAATTTAGCACCTCTTTAGCACTGTATGCTTGCTTCAAGCCAATCAAATACACTTTAAATTAAAAATAGTTTTAGATGTTTAAAACAATTAATTAAAACAAAAGAACTAGCTTAGTTAAAAGATTAAATTTACCAACCCAACAATGATTTGATTGAAAAAGTAAAGATACCTCTAGTTTTGTGAGCAATTGCTTGCCAGTCCTCTTCACATGAAGTAGTGGAGGTCTTGTCGAAGGTGGATCCTTACCTTCCAGATTCTAAATATCAGAGTAATTATAAATAAAAATTAACTATAATCATTAAGTATAATAATTATAATTATATTATTAAAGGAAGTTAGTCAACTGTTCTACATATCATGGGAGATAAATATTCAGGACGCAGTATTTTTTAAAAAAAATTTAACAATTTTTAACCCAAACATGTGGGTCATCTTCAAGGCGAGATTTGAGCACTGAGGGTGTTCAAGTTGAGTACTTGAACACCCTACTTGTGTGTGCGTTATTTTCAATTTCAATGTAAATTTAGTGCTGTATGCACACGAATAGGATTATCTACACGAATAGGTTATCTACAGAGTGGCTACCAGACAGTTGAAGTAAAATTTCCTGACTTTTCCCAGATATTTCCATATTTAGTGATAGTGTTCTGTGACCAATAGGTCTGGGGACACAAATATTAAAAATTTATAATTTATAACTAAATTTATTTATTATACATAAAAGAAAATTTACTAAAAAATGGCTTGAGTAAAAAAAAAAAATCAGTTTTTTAAATAGCAAATATAATGTTTTAGTGAAAGCATTTTTTAAGCTAGATTAGGATTTTTTATTTTAAAAAAATAAACTTTTAGTATTTTATTTTTATATTATTTTCATACACTGAGAGGAGATAAACGTTGATACTTGACATAGCAAGCTAAATTTATTTATTATACATAAAAGAAAATTGACTACAAAATGAATTGAGTAAAAAAAAAATCAGTCTTTTAAGTAACAAATAAAATGTTTTACATAAAACATTTTTTAAGCTTGATTATGATTTTTTAATTTAGAAAACTAATCTTTTAATAATTTATTTTCATCTGTTTTATTTTATTTCCATACACTGAGATGAGGTAAAAGTTGAACTTGACATACAAATATCGGATTTCTCCGTTATCAGCTACGGGAGATTCTAATATTAATTTAGTTTCTCATAAGTAATTAAGAGGAAGCAGATGTTCGGTGTGGCGGTCATAAATAGACAAAAATAGTGGAAAAACTATTTTATTACAAGCCAACGTTTCCACTATTTTATTTCCACTATTAACACTAATTTCCACTACTTCAGTCTATTTATGACCGCCACCCTGGACCATCTCCTTCCATTAAAATACACATTCGTTAACTGTTAAGTATTCCATAAGTAATTAAGTTTCTACATTACTATAAACAGCGTAATAATTATCCATATTACACCAACTGTGACATTTCTGGTTAATAAATGCTCTTTTAAGGAGCACCACGGCTGAATGAATGAATGCTAGTCAGATATTGACTCAGATGTATACAGTACAAATAGTAAATAGTTTTGGTGTGTTGTGTTTTGCTTTTCAAAAAAGCACGGTTTTCATTCAATTTTGCTTAAATTTTATTCATTACCCTAGTTGGATTTCAATACAACGACCAATTAACAATTTTTTGCTGACTTTTCCCATTTTTTCAGGTTTTCCACTTCAGTCGCCACGCTGTATCAAAGTCTACTTAAAACACCACACTTAGCCACCAAATCCTCATTCAGTCAGCAATCTATAGGTCCAGCAGTCCCAAATAAGTTAAGATATAACCAAATCTATTCTATCTAAAGTGGGAAGATAAAGATTGATTCCAATTTTCAACTTGCCCAGACAGGATTCCAACCAACGCTTCTAGAGCAAAATGTTTAAGCAGGCAAAGCTCTAACATGCTCAACCATCATGGCCTTAACCTTTCAGGGGTCTCACCTTCTTCTCCCATCTTTTTAAAAAGATTATATCTCTGACAATTATGAACATTCTTCACTAGAAAACATTTTAAAATATAACAGTATAAATAAAATGAGATACGTATTCCTGTTCCTCGCATCAATCTGGAATAACACCAATTTTCTACAGATTATCCAGCTCGATACTTTTTGATGAGGCCTTGTAAGTGATAAAGCCTAAATTATAGATATCATTTATTGCTTGAATACTATTTGTAAAATGTGTTATATAATATGCACAGTTTATTCATGTATGTGCATCTTGTATTTAATTGTATGTATATATATATATATATATATATATATATATATATATATATATATATATATATATATATATATATATATATATATATATATATATGTATATATCTATATATTTGTTGCTACAAAATATTATATCACAACTGTTATATTTTCTATACAATTTAAAAAAAAAAATTGAAATTACTTGTTATACAATCTTGCCTTGTATAAATTTTAATGAATTATTTAAGGAAGTTAGTCGACTGTTCTACATATCATAGAACATAAATAGTCAAGACGCAGTAATTTTTAAGGTTTTTATTGGTGCCGACGTTTTAACCCAAGCTCAGGGCATTCCCAAGGTCATCATCAGGGCATGTTTCAAGCACAGAAGGTGTTGAAGATGATGATAACTCACACGCTTGGTTGAAACATTGGCACCAATAAAAACCTTAGAAATTACTGCATTCTGACTATTTATCACCTAAAATACTGTTTAATGTTATATTGTATGGGTCAACACCAATACAATGTATTTAACAAGCATTTATTGCTTTATATAATAAATTCAATTATATCATTTTAATGGAAAAAACAAATTACATAAATAGTTTAAAGTTGGTAATCAGTGGAAATCAGTTGTTTACATGATACATTTTTTGTTTTGTTAATACTTTCATCTATGAAAATTTTAGGATAAAATAGTTTTCAAAATTGTAAAAATGTCAAATGTGTAATAGACACTATTCAATTAAAGCACTTTCATCTGTTTTCAAACAAAAATAATAGGAAATAAAATTTCAGTGGTAGAGCTTGGCTGTTTATAGCTTATTTGAAAAAATGAAAATGAAATTCATAATTTATGTACTTACCAGGTGAGAAACTTTGGCCCTGGCAATGTTGATTTTGTTTTCATGTTCTTTTACACTAGTAAGTAATTCGATGAATGTCATCTCGTCAGTGAGCCTTGAGCTGCAAAATAAAGCATCCAATATAAAGAACAAATAAATTAAACAAACCATAAGATTTAATTAACTTAATTATCTTAGAATATTATTAATTGAGACTTCCTTGATCTCAAGCATAAATAAAAATTTCAAACATACAAACAACATACTTTCTTTTCAATTGTGCAAATTGATCAGCTAGTTTCAAAAAGACAAAACCTGTCATGAATGAATCCCAACCAGCATCATGTTTTTTCTGTTCTACAGCTGAAAACAAAATTTCACAAGAAGAGCAACAATTTATTATTATAATTCATGGACAAAAAATAAATTATCAATCATTTTTATTTCTTTTGTAACCAAGAAAGATTTCAAAGCAAATCTTAGAGAAAGAAAATTAAAAATAATTCTGTTTCAAGTATGATACTAAGAATTATTTCAAAAATAAAATAGAAAAACTTGAATAAATTATTGATAATATTTTTGCACAAAATTTTGTCAGTGTCGGCCATCAACAATCATGCATAAAAGATCAGATGGCTTTTTTTTCCAGACTCCAAGAAAAGATTAACTGTAATCCATTGAATATCAACAATGTAAAAATAGAATTAAAGGAAGGAGATGGTCCGGGGTGGCGGTCATAAATAGGCTAAATAGTGGTAAAACTATTTTATTAAAAGCCGATGTTTCAACCCGACTTTGCAGGTCTTCTTCAGGGAGGTGTGTTCAGGAGTTTCACTTAGAACTGTGTGTGAGTTTCACTGGTGTTCTAAGTGAAGCTCCTAGCTGAACACACCTCCCTGAAGAAGACGTGCAAAGTCGGGTCGAAACGTCGGCTTTTAATAAAATAGTTGTGCCACTATTTAGCCTATTTATGACCGCTACCCCGGAACATCTCCTTCCTTTATAATGCAACGGTCAACTATTAAATAATCAATAAAAATAGAATTATATGGATAAAGAGTTCACAACAGAGGAGTTTTTATCTGTTTGGTGCCAATTTTTCATCATAGAGGATATTAGGATCATTAAGTAATTTCATTTATGATGAAGCCAAATGCAGTAACAGAATTGATTCTCGCTAACAAGAGTTGAATTTTATAAAGTAGCTAACCAGCAGAATGTAATACAAATCTTCCCAAACATGCTAAAATGTACAAACTTGAAGTGCATAAAATCTTTCAATCAAATAAACATATTATCTGATAAAAAAAAAAAAAAACAGAATTTATGGATACACCAACACTATGATTTAATATGACTTCAAACCCAGTAGGCTAATAATGTGTAACCTTCTTCTTCTTCTTTGTCTTCCTCCTTAGTGCCTTCCTCCTTCAGCGTGGAGGGGCCTCCACCCATTTACGCCAGGCATCACGGTCCCTCACCAGGTATCTCATGTGACCCAACTGTTCGCCTCTTTTCTGTCCGAGCTTGGTCACTTCGTCAATCCAAGTTTTCCGTGGACGTCCTTGGCCTTTTTTCTGTGGGTCTTGCCTCAAAAAATTTTCTGGGTTTCCTCATAACATGGCTGAACCATTTAAGCGTTTTCTTTTGCACGTTTTCCAGCATTGGTGGCACCTTAACATTTTCTCCAATCCGTTAGTTTCGGATACAATCTCTTCTAGTTTGACCAGGTAGTCTTCTCAGATATTTCATTTCGGCAGCAGTAAGTCTACTTCTGTGCCTATCTAGAAGGAGCCAGATCTCACTAACGTACAGTAGAGTTGGAAGGTAGAGTGTATTGTATATATAGATCTTAGTTATATAATGTGCAACTTAAGAGGTTTTAAAAGAAAATGATAAAACAAACAGTCTAAATTAAAATGTTCTTGTTGTTTTGATTTGGATTCTATTTTAGTCACAATCAAGAACAATTCCTGAGATGTTTATTTTTTCTTCAGAGGCAGGAGAACTAATATCAAAAGATGTTCTAAATTTACAATACATCGGAAACATTTGATGCATTCTAAAGAACAAAAATAAAAACCTGTACCACTAAAACCAATGGAGGATCTTGGTTTCAGTACTTCATAAGGATATACTATTTTAGGGCCAACGGTTGTTCCGAGAGGTGATTGGGCCGAGATCATGCTCGGCCACCAGATTTTTCTTCTTCATCAATTATTTAATCAAGAGTATCCACTTTATAGAGGTTGGTTGTGTTCCAGGAGGGACTTCCGAACCCAAGGTCGATCCATGACTAATGTAACAGAATAAATAATCACCTGCCAGTCGGATTCAAACCTAGGATCTAGAGAATAGCAGCACGTTAGCCACTGCCTTACTCACTAAGCAATCCCACTCCTAAATAAACGTAAATAAAAATATTTGAAACAAGTTTTTAGGTCAATGTCGCTGTGAAACAGACAGTCGATTAATCAGCTAAAATTTGTCTAATTATAATAAAAATCTAATCACATCATTAAACTTTAATAGATCACAATAATGTTTTATTTGAAATATAATACTATAAAAACGTAAAGTAAATCTTAGTTCAAGAATGACATAGGGAACAACAGAATGTAATCAACAAAATAAGTTTTAAAAATTATCAGTAATACTTACAATCACAATAAATACTTTTTGGATCAAGCTGGACAAATGGATAATAAAATTTTGTATCTGCATCTTGAAATAGTTCGTACAAACCGCCAAGTGAGTTCTTCAGTAAGAGTTCTAAATTAAAATTAAGAAGTAAGTCCAAATACACAAAAAGTAAATGGAAAAAATTAATAAAATAATAACGATTACTTTGTTTTGTAATACGATGTAGTTGGTAACTGAGAAACTTTGTATCATATATAGATGGAAATAATTTGTTTAAATTTTCTTTGTATTTAAAGTAATTAGCTAGGAAAAATAAATAAATAAAGGTAAATCATTTTTATGTTATTCCGTTTGATAGATACTAAGTTATTTAAATATAATACTAGAGTACCCGGTATATGTTCATAAAACTGATGATACATGATCAACAGATCAAAATATAAATTATGGCCAACTAATGGTTTTTTGGAAGAAGCTAGCAAACTGTAAACCTTTGAAAAACCTAATAGTGAATCGATGAATTTTTCTTTAACATCAGCAAGTTTTCCCTTTTCTTCAAATTCCAATCTTTCGTATTTAGTGACTTTTTTGACAACTACCTAGAAAAAACAAAACATAAATAAGAATTTTTAATAATGAAAATATTAGTAAATAAAATAACAAATAATTAATTGATAGCCTCCTATCTGACACAGTTGTCATGGCATACTCAGCACAAGTTGCTTCGATTTTTTTTTTTAATAATAATACCATTTATTATAATCTATGCCAAATTAAATATAAATTGAAAAGATAAAAATAGGACAACATGCAACACAATCTGTCATGGCAATCTCCTATTTATGCCCGAGGCAGAGCTGATGATCTGCCCGTGCTATAAATTATTACAGACACATAGGACAAGATCTACCATAGTGATCCACAGAATTCACTTATGCTTGAGCCTTTAATTAGTAACATTAATAAGTAAATTATAAACGATAAGAAATTTATTTTTACCTTATCTTGTTCATTGTACGTCCAGACTTGATTATTAAACATACGAATCCTCTCTTGTAATAAATAATTAAAAGAATGGTTGAAAGGATCAATTGGGAAGTCAATTGTACTGCCATCTGAATTGCTTTCTGTCCAATTACTAATAAGCTCGCAAATTCTAAGAATTTCATTAATCTCATCATGATTCAGATTCTCTTCTAAAGAACTCAATAATGTTCCGTCATAAAGAAGTTTTAATAATTTCTCCTTATCATTCCGATTCAGATATGAAATGCCTTGATAAAATCCCTAAATAATACTAATTAATTAAATTAAAATTAAAATTGGTAGCAGTATTTATAAATAAATAGAATATAAAGACATATGAAATTAAACTATAAATATTTACAAACAGGGCTCATAGAACTTTTTACAATAATCAATTGTATTGTCAGTTACTAGAGTATTTACACACCTATTATCAATATTTAATTTTTGATTAAATCTTTATTCACTGATTATTTTCTCTTTATTTGACTGTTTTCAAAGCATTACCTTATTTTACATTCTCAGTCTATACTCGAAAACTGCAAATATTTACCTTAATACATGAGACAAAGAGGATCAAGCGTAAAGGTTTGAAAACAATTTTTTTTTTCAGAATAATACTTGTTATTGATGTATGTTTTCATAACCTAAGAGAAGCAAATTCCTGCTAGAGTTATTTTCTGAAAGATGATTAAGGCAACTTTATCTATAGCCTTGAAAAACATCAACAAATTTCTGGATCTAAGTGAATCAAGCCACCTTAATGTTCATTTTTAAACTATTAAATGTTTACCCATACTAGTTAGTCATCATCAAGATTATTATGCAGAATATGCCATATAATATGTAGTAAAAAACTCTGAAATACGCAGTAAAAAAGATGAAAAATGCAGTTACTGGTCTCTAAAGGTGCTAAACTTACTAATTACTTGATCACTAATCAGGCAACTCGCGGTGCTGTGCACACGCTTTAGCCCATTCAGCCACCCCGCCCCCACATAATGACTTGCCTATGAAAAGGTTTTGAAATAAAAATGAAATTATGAAGGTCAACTATACTCTTGCCTTAGTCTGCCTTGAGAGTAATTAGCTCCTGATCTGCCTCTTTAAGTCAATAGCAACGGTTGGCTGCCGATATCTTCTTTCCTATTTCCTTTGACATGTCACAGGTCCTTCGACATGACGTGAGATCTGAGGTAAGTAAACTCCTGTACTCTTTGAAATTTGATTGGGCCTATTTCTATATAACTTTCAACTTGCTGAGCTTGTAATAACTGCTTAAAATTACAGAGTTGAGGTCAATGTCATTGGGAACAATTGGATCTTTGCCATTTAAAATTTTATTAATACCTTCCAGAATTGTTTAATTAATTTAATTAATATCTGAATTCATTATAAAAACTTCCATTTTTTCATTTAAAGTTTCACCCACTTGGTACCACTGGTTTTCCATCAGTTGTAAAAACTGTTTTCTTTCTGTTGTTGTAAGGCTCAATCCAAGATTTCAACTTTGATGATAATGATGAACATACTTTCGGCATTTTAAATAAACAGAAATATGATCTCTTGCAAGAAGATAGGAAATAAATTGAAGTAGAAACTTAGTATGATGGGAAAAGAAGGGAAATGGATTTATGAGAATTGGTGAAATCTATAAACATAATTATTGTCATAGAAATTGCACCACCCCATAAAAATGTTATTAAATTTTATTTTATTTACCAGATTGCTATCTACAAGATCTCTAGATATTTCTTTGCCTATTTTGAAACGATATTCTAAAAAAATTGCACCATTCAGTGGTCAAATTGTTCGTTTTTTTTCTCCTCTCAGTTTCTTTCTCTAGCTCCATGGCTATTGTTGGTTGGTGGTACCCTATCCTCATTAGTATTTCATGTGAAAATTCCTTCACTTCATGTAACGTCACAATTTTAATATTTTCTAGTGAGAATAATTTTTTATACAGATCATAATTACTACTTTTTCTTGGCACTAGTTACAACTTAACTGAGAAACATTGTTCAGGTTTTCTTGTAACCTAAATAAATTAACAAAAACATTCAACTGAATCAATTTTATCAACATTGGAATCAAAAGAAATTTATATATGTATTAAGTCTACAAATGTGGTAGACTTAATACATAAAGTACAGTTTGTTCATTGAAAATAAACCTACGATTGTAATTTTGAATTTTGTCTTCAATGTTGCATTTTAATTTGTTTATATAAATACATAAATATTCATTTACATATATATATTTTATTTATATTATTAAATTAATCATAATATGCAATTATCCTCAAATATAAAATTATTTTCATTTATCCTCAAATATGTAAAGTTATTGTATTATGGTTATAAAACTATAAATAATTGTAGTAAAGTTATCGTATTATGGTTATAAAATTATAAATAATTGTAGTTAAGACCAAATTAAAATTTCTTATTATTATCTCAGATTACAAATTATGAAAAAAATGTCAGTATACTTGCATATAAAAGTTGTTTCCAGGGATTTAAATATGTGATAAATATACCCAAATTCACAAAACAATTATTTTTTGGGGCAAACATACCATGGCACTACATAAATAAGTGATGAAAAAGTAAAAAATATTAATGTTGCGGACCCATCAGAGGGGTACCAAACATTTGAGGAAATAAACAAATACAAAATAATTATTTTGGTTGGCTAAACGTGCAACAGTACAAGGTAAATACAAAATAATGATCTTTAGGACCCTCAGAGGGGCCTCCCAATCATTCTATGGCGATAAAAAAGTTCACAACATTTAAGTTGGGGGCCTATTGGAGATGTCCCAAAAATTTGTGGAAATAAATGAATACAGGATAATTATTTTTAGGGTACTAGAAAAATAAAAACGATTTTGGAGCTCCATATCTCATGAGCCCTCGGCAATTGCTTCACAACAAAAAGTTCACAACATTTAAGTTGGGGGCCTATTGGAGATGTCCCAAAAATTTGTGGAAATAAATGAATACAGGATAATTATTTTTAGGGTACTAGAAAAATAAAAACGATTTTGGAGCTCCATATCACATGAGCCCTCGGCAATTGCCAGCTAACCGACCTGACCTGTGTGAATTCTGTTAATATGCTAAATAACCCTTAAATGATGAAATGATATTGTTGGTACCATATTGTTTTCCGCCATCACTGCTTCAAAAATTTATAAAATGTACACATGGACTATCGGGTTCTACTATTCCTCACATGGCATGTTGGTCATTAAAACATTAAAGATGTGGATCAATCATGGTCAGCACGTTGATCCACATAGTCCTCCCACTTGGCGTGTCCTGGACATTGTTGAAAATATCGCCACTAGATGTTGGAAATCTGTATTTGGTAAAACGTACACTGAGATATTAAATGTGTTATGGATGATGTGAACCATGGAAATATACGTCCTCAGTGAGGAGAGTCAATGGTCAGTGAGAGAAAACTTCCTGGTGTTCAAGAATTTATATAAGGTTGCATGGAGAGCAAGGAAGAAGAGGAAGAGCAATATTCGAAATACTACTAGAAGATTTTTGGTAATTTTTATTTGTTTTGTAAAGATAATTATATTAAGTATAAATTTATCATATCAGCACGGTTAAATCTAGTCATTGTAATGTAATATTATAATAAGTAATTATGAAAAAATTAATATTAAAACTGTAGTTTTTTTTGTACAATTAAAGAAGAGGCTCTGATGGTTAATTACTTTAAGGATGAAATTCCCAGAGCAGCCAGTTCTAGGGTGTCTGGATGTCGGTTAATATTTATTTTATACTGTATTCTTAATAAAGCCATTAAAAACAAAAAAAACTACTTAACAGAAAGATAGTACCTAAATGAAGATGATAGTGGTGATTGTGTTCAAGTCAGTGTAGTGTCTCAAAAAATTTACAGTTTTAATTAATAATTAATTATGAAGCATTTTCTAAAAATATATATTAAGTTTATTTATAACTATTATACTGATAAAAAAATAAAGAAGTAAATTGTATGGGCTTTTCTGATATTGACAGAACAGATAAGTAATATGAAGGTAAACCCCACTTTCCTGGTGCTAATTAAAATTTGTGTATAACAAGTAAATGTAACTAAAATTTTTAACAATTGAGAAATAAGCAACATTCAGGTTAAATTAAATTGGATATTTATTAGTATTGATAAGTACTTTCAGCAACATTTTCTGCATGCATATTAATTAAATGCGAATACATAATATTAAATACCGAAACGGATAATACAAAAAATTAATACCTTGTTAAAATCAAACTTATGATTGCAAAGGAATTGAATAGTTGCAGATTTACACAAGAATGACACATCAAATGATCCAAAAACTCTTGGAAAAACATAGAACTTAAACGGATTGGCTCTATAATGTTTCAAGTCCCTATTGTATTTAAATGGAGTAATTCCTACTTGTAGAATAAGTGCATGGTCTAAATTATTTCGAATGCTATTGAACCTGTCTTCTCCAGAATCAAAGAAACTAGAACAGAAATATTTATAAAAGAAAATAATAGAATCAGTATTTCTGTTTCTAACCAACTATTCTCCTACCTATTTTCAAAATGTTTATCAGCTGGTAGTGAAGTGAATTCACAATCTAATGAAACAAAGGAACAGTTTTTAATTTCATATTGCAATTCATTAAGGACCTCTTCAAAATTTTGTCTTGTAGCTTCAAACATTTAAATAAAGTAAAATATAAATTTTAAAAAAGCAGAAAAAGACCAATAAAAGTTTATGACATTCACTATACCGTGAAATCAAGTAAATATATAATCGTAATCTACACTATAAAACCAAAAAACTCGTGATGTACACTATAAAACCATAAAACTTAAATTTTCAAATTTTGTTATCATTTAAAAATTATTCGCCATAACCTTCCAGGTTCAAGCAAGTACATGTTATCCAAGAGCAAGTTCCTGAACTCAGCGCTGAGCTCAATAGAGGCATCAAAATCCATCAGGCTGTTGCCCATCAATGAATCCATAGATGGATTGTAGAACTTCCTTTCTTCATCTATTAAATCGCTGATAGCGCAGCGGGTTCGTCGACTCTTGGTGTCGATGGATTCGCTGGATTTAATCTTATTATAACTTCAGTGTTATTTCTTAAATAGCTTCTCAAAATATTTATATTATGTTCTGAAACTCCACAAAAAAGCCTACAAAGTAGGTAAATATTTCCTTTTGTCTTTACTATTCTACACGGGCGGAACTACGGTAAGGGAGGGGCTTTCGGGCTGCCCCCCTCCCCAAATGGTAAAATATAACCAAGTTTTATGGGAGAAAAAAATTTAAAAATACCTCTTAAAGTATTATTGTTCCTGTAATTACATTTAAAAGGACTTAAGGAATCACTTGAACACCATTTCATATAGGTAGTTAGTTTCTTTCTGTTTTTCCAAAGTAATTATCGTTATTTTTATGGAAAAAAAAACACTTTCCGGCTGAAGCCCCCCCCCCCAAAATTAAATCCTGTATCCGCTAGTGTTATTTTATGTGCGTTTTATAAGCTTCCAGGAATTGAACTTTCCACTAGAATTCAGCAGGTCGTTCCTAAAACAGCATTAATTGTTGCGGCGCTGTATTCAATCCATTGATGGATTCCTTCAACGGAACTACCGCTGAGTTTAATAGGACAATTCCCAAATCATAAACTACTGAATAAAATAGAAAAATTCTGATGAGAACTCTTTAAATAATAGCAAACATTACCATAGTAAGTTTAAGTAATATTTTTCAAAGTTTATAAATAGCTTAATCAAACTATTTTTGCCTAAATACTATAATATACTAATTTAATTATACTATACTATACTAAAATAGATTAGTATTTCATTGCATTACCTTTTATTGACAATCAAGATTGCATTGGATGAGCTCACTGAAAAACGCCATATTTGTTAGTTGCTATAAGGTCGTCGCGTCACCTGCGACGGAAAGTCAAGTTAATTGTAATCGTCGTTCTCGACGACCGGGAGGGTCTCTCCCCCATTAATTGTTTAAAATTTCATTAACTCACTTCTAAAATTGACCAGTTCTTAAATAAACCTAGCACTTTATTTTTCATTTTGTGTGCTGAAGCCATGGATTGTTGAAAATGTTGGGATCGAAGCAATTCGCCATTTCTCTCTCCGGAGAAAAAATCTCCTTTTGTGATACTGTAGATGTTAGAGGATCTTACTATGGACAAGAAACCTTCAGTTCGTTCAGGACAGGGCCCTGCTAAAGGAAACTGCACTGAATCCAAAAAGACCCAAGGTATTTCCTACAACACAGTGCAATACTAATTGTACTTCCCATCAATGACGTCACGTTTAGTATATCACAACTTTATTTCGTTGGGATTGTTTTGAAATTATTGCATTTATTTGGACAGCCAATTCATATATTGATATCAGTTATTATTTTTTGTTAAATTTCATCCACAAAATTATCCTTATTTCTTTCTTTTTACAAATCCTTTGTATTTCAAAACCAGCATGAACATTTTTGATTTCAGATACCACAAATGGCAAACAGTTTCCTAAGAGTGGCCGCAAAAGAGAAACTGCAAGTTCAAATGGAGCGAAATATGATCAAAATCGAAAACCAATCCCACAGAAAAGCAAGGCTCTCGACAAGAGACCAAAACCAAGGGGTCTTTATTATGGTGGTGGAAAGGAGAATTCCCAGGTGGTTAATTTACTATTATAAGAAAATCAAAATGTTTAATGAACTTAGTATGTTTCCTTTGGACCCTAAATGTTATTGAAATCATAGTGTACTTTTATTCTTGACATATTTTTTTTTTTGTCATTATTAATTTTCTTTACTCAATGATTCATGATCTTGGTTCTTTGTCAAATTTTGCTGCCAAAATCATTGATATAATAGGTTATTTAAATTATATATACTGACAATTTGATATTTTATATATCTATATAGTTGAACCACCATGTGTTTCATTAAAATGTTTAGAAACTTGTTAAATGCATTTCTTTTAGGTAATTCTGAATTTTAATGATAAAATATAGGTTATGAAGTTAAACAACTGATCATTTCAAGAAAGAATTGGTGACATCTTATTCTATTTAGATAAGATTTCACCAATGCCAATGTCTTCTGTCTTTTTTTTTATAAGTAGTTGACAAGTGTCTCGGCTTGCACTCTATTAAATTCCAAGTCATGTCTTTATAATTCCAATTGTTTGTATAATTTTTTTTTTTTTCAGATAAAGGATGAAGAATTTGAAGCTGAGTTTGGTTCAATTTTTGCTATAGGGAGTAAAAAACAAAGTTTAAATCACTTGTTGAACTTCCATTATGAGCCCAGAGGAGAGAATATGCCCAAGAGGGCTCAGCAGACGCAGCATGGGTGCTCTACAAAATCACTCATGGCAACTCAAGCGCACAAATATAACAAAGAGCAGTTTCTCCAAGCGAAGTTAGTACTGATTTATTTCTATGTACATGAATCATTATTTTATGTTATATTTGAATATTTTTATACTTTTTGTAGTTGCCAATTTGTAGTCCGGGAAGGAGGGGACTACGGCTGTTACCTAGGAGATCCTGATAAATTAGTAGACTGGGACTTTGTGGAATTAATTGTAAGTTTATTTGAAAGTTTAATTTTTGTAATTGGCTATTAAAATAATTAAAGTTTTGCTGTTAGTATAAGCATTTAATTTGTCATTCATAATCCAGGGCATTTTAGGTACTGTAGAGTAATAACATATTGTTTTTATTTATTAAATGCATTTCAAAGATGAAGTTCAGTTATGCCATTCTGGCATTAGCCTGAGTTTATAAATAGTGAAATATTTCTGAGTGGATCGGATTGTTTGAATTTTGATAAATGTCTATTTGTACTTCAATGAATCATCATTTCTTTATTTATCAATTTGAGAACATATCTTTAAATTCATCATATATAAAAAGAAATAATCAGATAACATTTGGTTAGTTTCATTGTGATTAAATTAAGTACATAATATATAATGGCTGAAGAAAATTTTTTTGTTTAACTTATCAAGTATTTTTTTTCTTATTGGGTGATATAAAAATAAAAATAGAATAATCAACTTTATTTTGGAATGATTTATATAATTTTTATTCATGAAATATTTTTCTATATTCATATTACAGTTTCAGTTTACTCTAAACATTTTATTTAGAATTCATATATATTTTATTTTATACTTAACTTATAAAGTGTGACAACCTAATTTAAAAGGAAAGGACCAGCAAGTGGGGGTTTGTTCCAAGGTTAAAGTTTCATTTTACACTCGCAGAAGACCTAAAACCCTGTACTTATTGCAATATAATGTCCATAGGGAGGTTAAATTCAAGACCCCAACGGGTTTATTCTACAAAATTCCCTTTTCTTTTTTCAAAAATATTCATCTTTGTTTCTAAACTTAAGTTCATTACCAAAATGAGAATATTATTTAAATACACTATTTAATTCAACTGCCCATTTCATAATTCATACTTTGCTCGTGAGCCATTTAAGAATATCATGAACTATGTTTACCTTAAAAAAAAGTTGATGATTCTTATATTTAGGATAGTTATTACAAAAATGTATCAAGACGTTTGACTTACTTGTATATTCACAATCATTTCATAAATCATATATTATTTATTATTGCTTCATCTTGAATCCTGTATACAAAAACAAAATTAATGGGTCTTGAGTTTTTGTTAATTTGATACCACTTACCTTAGGTTTGCTATTAATCTTTTCTGTTTTGTGGTATAAATTAACGTTATAGAAAATATTTATTTTAGCTATATAATAAACATTTCAAAATTATAGATAGAGTTGTCTTTTAGAAAGAGGCCCTTTTAGTCTCGATAACTAAATACTCTTTTTCAAACTTATCCAAATTTTCGCCTCGGGATAATCTGATTCTATTCTACATACATTTTAAATTTTCATCTGAAAATTGTTTAGAGAGGCCTCATATGTTTGTCTATATTCCAGCAAAAACCTATTATTTTTTTTCTCTTAAACATTTGATGTTCAGAATTGGTAGAAGTTATATTAATAATTGATTTTAGGTAATTGGAAATGTTGAAAAAGTGGTCTGTCCGATCTGCCTCTATGCGCCTGTAGCCGGTAAAATAACTCGATGTGGCCATGTATATTGTTGGTCTTGCATTCTCCACTACCTGGCTCTATCAGACAAGTCATGGAGGAAGTGTCCTATCTGTTATGAGGCAATCCATAAGAAAGACTTAAAGAGGTAATGTACTGATATTTATTATTTAATTTATAAACCTTGAGGTACGATTCGGTTTGCATCTAGCACTGTTATTTATTTTAAATATGAAATGCATTGCTGTTAATTTTATTTTTATTTTCTCTATTTAATGTGTGTTCCAACAGTTTCATTCCTTCAAATATAATTTATAACAATTTAACTTATTTTTATATATCATTCATAGATTGATTTGCTGTAGTTTTGCTAAAGTAAAAAAGTTATATGAGAAGGAGTTGATCGGGGGGGAGGGGAGTCAAATGAATACTAAATTATACAAATAGTATTATTATTTTTTTGCTGACGTTTAAAAAAGTAATACTTCTTAAATCATGCTAATATTTCCTTTGATCTTTCCTATTCCAAACGATCAACACCCGAGACCCTACATCTACAGTTTAAACCCGTGGTCCACTCCCAGAAAACAAGATCCCGTGTTTCCGACCTTTACATCCCTTCCCATAGAACTAAGATGTTTGAATATTCCTTTATTGTCCGATCCACTGTCTTCTGGAATTCCTTGCCATCTGATATCCGCCATGCCTCTTGTCCTCATTTAAATATCATCTTTACCAATTCCTTCTCACATCCCAAAATGACGTTATACAATGAAATAAATATTGTGAAACAGATTTTGACTGAGGTGAATGGTTGTTAAAATTGATTGAGTTTTAATTTTAAAAATCAACCCATGCTTATTTTATTTTGTTTTCTTTTCATTTAAATAATGTTTTTTTTTTTCAAAATAGTGTTATTTTTACTTGATTTAATATAATTTCACTGAAGATACTGTATATATTATTTAATATTGACTAATGTAATTTTTGGCCAGATGTAGTTTTTATTTTATTTTTTTTGTTCATATCTGTTATTCATAAGGGACCTCGTCCCAGAATAATGTTTAGTTTCTATCTATCTAATATTAAAATTGGTAACCTGGATATTATATTATCTAAAAATAATGTTTATTATCTATGATTTATGATAGGCCATTGTCTTAAATATAACTTTTCTTAATAGCTATTGTATTTATTTATTTTATTTTATTTATATATGAATGTTTTGACATGTATTGCAGTGTCAGTTTAGTATTAAGAGTATACTATGTCTATTAATTAATGTTCCTCTTTGTTTAAAATGGTAGAATATATATTTTATTTTATATTTTCGCAGTGTTGAGTGCATAGAGAAGAAACCGTTTTCAGTTGGTGACCCTATCACACTAAAGCTTATGAAAAGGGAGAAACGTACACTGGTGGCTACGCCTGTAGAACAGTTTAATCTTAGAGCTTCAAAACCTATTCTGAGTTATGGTGATAAACAACTAGAAACTGTTTACTCCAAGCTCTTGACAGCCTCAAAGCAAACAGTAAATTTCCTTCATTTGTTTTTAGTTTATAATATTCAGGGTGTTCCGTAAGTAGGGGTAAATTTTTGCAGGAGTAATAAATACCTCAAGAGCTACAAAAAAGTTTGTATAAACAATGGGCCAATTTTCAGCAGAAACATAGGAAATGGAAGTGGTGTGATTTTTGTAAGAAAGTCCTGATTTTTGTTGAATAGGAAGCAATAGCATAAGAAATATTTATCATCAACTATACGACAGATATCTCGCTTTTAGAAAAATTTTCTTGTTTTATAAGCTTTAAGTCCATATAAATTAATTTGAGATTTACCAGGCCAAAATTTGAGATTCACATCGAGTTGTGTAAATAAATGATGATTTTTTATCCTGTCTCCTGAAAGTACCCATGTTTTCAGGAAAAATGAGTATATATATTTATTATAATACACTCCAGATCATAAAAAAAAAAACAAGAAATAAAAGCTTTGCAACAATTAACTGTAGTTAGTTTTGGTGAAAATAAGAGTGTTTATGGGGGGTAAAAGACAAGATATAAATCATTTGAGTTTTTGTCTAGTAAACCTCAAGTTAATTAATATGGACTTAAAGCTTATTAAACTAGGAAAGTTTTTCTAAAATTGGGGGTTATCTGTAAGTACGGTTGGATGCTGTTAAAAATTTGAGAATAATTTATAACTTTTTAAAAATATAATTCAGCTTAGTTAAGCCGCTTAGTAGTCCCCTTTTAATGGTTTTAACCATGACAAACTACTTTCATTTAAAGAAAGTTTCATCTAGTTTACAGAGAAGAAAGTTTTAATTACTTAAATTAAATAGTTCTTTAGTTATCGCTTCATATTTAACAAAAAACATGACGTGCTTGTATAAACTTTTTTGTAGCACTTGAGGTCTGATGTAACTCTTATAAAAATTTCCCTCTACTCATAGAGGAACTAAAGTGTATTAACTCTTATAAAAATTTCCCTCTACTCATAGAGGAACTAAAGTGTATTGTACTACTAGATAGTCAATGGTCACTGAATATGTCATTTCATTTAACTATTCATTTATTTCAGGTCATTGATATCATTAATCATGAATATGCTGAATTGCAATCACAAGTAGAAGAATGCAGAGGGTGCCCAGAGTTATGTTTTGTTGAACAGGCCTTGGCACTACTGACTGAGCGCAAGAGCAGTGTTATGGTAAATTATAAGAGTATTAATATATTAAACTGAAATTTACAATTATTCTATCTGAGGTATGGGTTACTGACAATCAGATCAACTCAGACAAACTATTATTACTTACACTATTTATAATAAAATTAAACAGTGATTTTAAAATAAATTCAAGTATGGATTGGGAAGCTTACCTTTTTTCTATATATACAGTTTCTTCCTCGGTTGCACTAAATTTATTTGTCTTCAAATGCTTTCCAATGTTCTGCCAAACAAAACTTCCAAAATGGTGACACTATTACTGGGTTTTACCCACTGGAGCCGGGATCACTTCTCCCATCCTCTCTTCACTATTGCCACATAACAACTGCTTGCCTAAACAAAACTTTTCCTTCTTGGGAAACTACAGAGCAACCATTTTCTTTTCCCTGCACTAGTAGAAATAGATTAGCTTGCCTTTTAATTGTTGAACATTAATTTATTAAACCCTTTTTACTCACTTCCAATAAAGATGTACATTGCAATATATATATAAAATAGACTAACAAAGGTGTTAGCTTATGAGTCCATATCAAAGAATGTATTCTGGTATAATAGTATTCATGCATTCCTTACAAATTATCAAAGCCGCCCTTTATTAACATTTAATATCATCCCAAAGAAATATTTCAACATTTGTTGATAAACACTGAAACACAGTTTGCTCAGGACCCGAATGTACATTTGTCAATCCTCTGAAAGTTATTTATAAAGAACTAAATCATCACAAAATATATATAAATAATAATTTGAGTACAACGAATATAAGTTGGATTTTTAAGATTAGAGGAGTGCTGCTATACCTTAATCGCTGGAGGTATGTCGAACATGCAATGAGCTCTGTATGCTTTGTATTATGAAATAGAGGGAGCATATAGTTCATTTTTTGGCTATTTGTCCTGTATTATAGAGTTAACGGTAAAATATTTCGGGAAAAGTTATTTAAATTGAGAAGAAATTAAAGAATATGTAAATGGAAAGAGTTGGATTCCATTAATCTGATATTGTAAGGAGATCTGGGATTATGGTTGCTGTTGATACGAGAATTCAGTGGTTGATTTACATAATCCCCCACATATATTATTACTGTAAGGCTCGAAATCAGTTTTGTACCAAATATAAGCTCCTGTCATGTACAAAAATCATGAATGGTGGGGTACTGTCGGATTCAGAATTTTACAGGGGTTTAGCAGACCGTACCTTTTGTTTTCTTTCTAAAATAAAGTCGATATAAACATTTTATTAGGCTTCGATATTGGAACGGTGGTAAGTCTGTATATTGATATGGGACAAATTGAGCTTTGAAGATTTTGATGTATTCACCGGTTTTAAGCCTGGAAACCTATTATTTTCAAGATAATGCAAGACAAAGGTTCGCATCCACACAACCTTACGTTAATTATAGTACTGACATGGAATACATGTCTCATTTCATCGAATTGAGATCAATATGATCGAGAGAGGAGGAGTTTATATGGTTTGTCGGTAAGCCGTATCATTAATTTTTCATCAAATCCACAAGATTGATTCATCAATTTTGAAGGTTTCCTTCTCCTTCAGGCGGGAAAAATAGTCCAATCATCAGGAAAATTCAGGCAAAACAGTATTGAAAAAAAAGGAACTTAATTTGCGAATAACTCAAAAATTAAAAACTTTTCCCTTGGTTATGTCTCAATGATAATATAAAAGATTACTCAATTTCCTACAAAAGGAAAAAAAAAATCATCAAAATCGATTAGATTTTTTTTATTTTACCATTTTTTACTTTCCCTTGCCTATGTATGTAAAATATAGTAAGGGAAAATATTGCGATCATGCAAATTTTTTAATCTGAATTTTCAACAGAAATGCACGTTTTAAGGTATCCTGAGTGCAAATAACCAAGTCTTGCAGAATGGTGTGTGTATGTTAACCGTCATATTACGTATTTAAGATAGGTATATGCCTTAGATCTGACAGCAATTTTCTCCTTAAAATTGGCTAACCGGAAGAGCCACTCTATATCAACTGTGAAACACATTTTTACAATTTTCTCCAAAACTGCTCTAACGGTTTTGATTAAACTGTGATGTATGAATATATAATTAAGTGGTCTTTAATATCATTTAGATCTTATCCCCATTGATGTCACTTTACACTGCTTAAATACCTATAATATGGAACTATACTAGTATGTAATATTAAATGTTGAAATTTTCATGCACTATTTATAACTGTTATTTTTGATCTGTTAAATATTATTACTATATTTTTATTGTTATATTGTGATTCTAGCGTATAATTTTTGTTTAATATATTTATGATAAATAATTCCCCTTAATTAATTAATGTTTGCTTCATTAATATATTGTCTCATTATAATTAATTTATTGATTTATTATTATATTGTTTGCTTTTGAGCTTATTCTCTAATGGTATTTTAAAAGTATTATAGCAATATATGTAAAAAAATTTTTTTCAATAAAAGCATTAGTATTATTCTATATCGGTAGTATTATTATATATATATATATATATATATATATATATATACACATATTCAAATGTACTAATAATTAATTTATTTTCTTTTGTTATTTCAAGGATCAGTCAAAAAATGTTACCGATACTGCTATTACATCTCCATCAGTTGTCAATGAAGAAAGATCTGGTCTCATTCTGGCTCCAGAGAAGGTAAGTACTATTAGATTTGCTATTTTAATATGTTCTCAACCTAGGGCTCCAGATTTTTTCTGGATCTAGCTAGAAATTACTGTTTGCTTTCCACATTGTTCTTAAGATAATTTGAACACAAAATCGACAAAAAAAGGTGACCTGCAAAAATATTAGGCTATTTGGCCCATATAACCTTGTTATTTTGACAATTTGTAAGTGTAGGTCACTCCAAACGACTCAATATTTTTTAAGGCCACCTTTTTTCTCGACTGTGCTCAAGTTATATCTTAAGATCCAAGAAGTGGATAGCAAATTTACGAATTTTTAGTTTCTAATTAAATAGACAAAGTTTGCCGGCCTCCTGATTGAAAATGCCCCAATTCCAAGAATTTTGTTGTATAAAATATTTTTAGGTTACGATGAGATGAATCTATTTACGAAGTTTCAACCGGATGTTAATAATTTGATAAAAAGGTGTCTGTACCACGGACTATTATAATCTTTAACAATTTTTTCATAACTATAATTTTTTTATATCACAAGTTGATCACGGGCAATGATAACCATCAGCAGTTTTTTGCCCCTAAACCCAAAACAACAACAACAAGTTGATCACAAAAAGTAAATGGTATAAAACTGTAGATGGGTCAATAAACACTGTTTTGGTAGGAGTGACTACATAATGAATTTATTGTTATCATTTTTTCTTGTTTTCAGGATGCCGAAGCCATTCAAAATATTGATTCCAACACCACTAATAAGGAACCCAATGAGAAGTGCGATGCTGAAAATGTAGAAAGTAAATGTCAAAGGTATGTAATTATTTAAGCATACTCCAAGTAATGTTCATCTCAAGGGAACTATAGTGAAATATAAATGAAAGTAGTGAACAGATCAGATTTATTTACCAGCTCACTAGTTTGATTTTTCCGATCATAACCTAGAAATAATTTAATGTTAATGTTATCACTATTATTCTTGTAAATGGTTCTATTATATATTGCTGTGGTAACCTCTGCAGTCTAATTTTAAAAGTTAGCAGTTTTTATAGGTAAATTTTCCTATTTTTTTTTTTTTATGTTATGAAAAAATCCTGAAAATTATCTTTGTCCTTAAGGTTATCTAAAAATAATGAGATCATTATTTTTAATATGCCTAATAATTAAAAAAAAAATGTTATCTACATTCCAATAATAAAGGATTACTGGGTGATGGTCTCCATAAAAAAAAATCAGATAACATATTTTTACTGCAAAAATTATCAAAATGCTTTGTGTAATCAACCTACTTTTGATATATTATTTCTCAAAGGTTGTTTTTTTTTTTTTTTGTCGTTGATTCTTGATCAAGTTTTTTATAATGTGATCAGGAAAAGCGTTGGATTTCAGGATCTTGTGTAGTTTGGTTAGGTTGTTATCATGGAATTGTGGGTCGGTTAATGTAAAACTGTGGTGTATCAGGTTTTTAGCTACACTGATTTTTTGGTGGTAAGGGTGTTGGGGAAAATAGTTTAGGAGACAGACGGCCTGAGTAGGTAGGTTTGTTGTACCAATTGGTTGCAAACGTTGGCAAAAATAAAAAAAAAAATTTTAAAAAAGACTGCGTCCTGAATATTTATCACCCATGATATGTAGAACAGTCGACTAACTTCCTTCAATAACTATGTTTTTATCATGGATGCAATAATGTGATTCCATTGATAAAAAGAAAATTATTTCATAATATATTGCACTAATTTATCTATTTTATGTTGTCCTTTGTTCACTGACCAATTTACTATCCTAATTATTCGCACGGGTCAGCTAGTAATAATACTAATATTTTATTGCTTTATCATTTTTTACTTCTTGCTAAACGTATTATAGTGTACAGCAACACATATATAGTTTTAGTTAAATTATCGTTTTAAATACAAAATTTGATTGTTTTATTGTGTGTTTAAGCTCCTTGTTGAAACAAATTTACTCCTACACTCGTTTGTTAATTATAAATGTTACTTTGGGAAGAAAATTCTCAACCTGAATTTGTTATATTTATTTTCAGAAGTGAAAGTGATAGCACCTGTTCTGAGGGTGAAGAGGCCCCAAACATTAATGCCGAAGATTTAGAAATCGGTAATCAAAATTCTAGCAACAACTTGAAATACTTCTATTTTTATCAAGGTACTTTGTTTTGTTATTAATTCAATATTGGTATGATAATTCTGAACTAATTAATTTTTATCATACTCCAATGGATTCCCATAAAAATTGTTCATTTTTTATGTAAAAAAAGTAATTTAATGCTGGAATTATATTTACAAGTTAATTGTGTCTTTATCCACACATTGTTAATTGAAATATTATTTAAGAAACATATTGATGATGTTAATTATAAATAACTTATTTCAAATTATAAATGTAAGTTATTACAGAATATAGATAAATGTTAAAATGCCATTTGCCTTGTAAGAAGTTGCTGCCTTTTCTTAAATCTGATTTACTGTGGTTTGTCACATTTCACGTGCCACTGTTTATTATTTACATTTATGTTTCGCTTTCAGCATCTGATGGCCAACAAATCTACTTGCACTCCATCAATGTTCGGACCTTGGAAGCTTGCTATGGTTCACTGGAGCAGTGCCCGCAGGAAATCTCTGGCCGAATAGTAGAGAAAGAAACTGGATCCATGACATCTCAGCTGAGGAAGAGGCTTCGTTATTTAGAGCATGTCCCCCTAACGTGCCAGTTTGAAGTGATCGAGCTGGATTTGAGGCCACCGGTCGTAACTCATGAAGCATTGGCTTGCTTTCAGGGTTAGTTTCATTAGCTTTGAATATGTTTATCAAATTATGTTTTTAACAGAGAACATCTTCATTTTTATGTATTTTCTTTAAAAAAAATTTTTTTTTTTTAAGAAAACAGAATGCTTTAAGCAATTTAAAGAAAACTTATATCAGATTCAGCATTAACAATCTTTGTAGTTCTTTCTCCTTGTGATAGTGTACTGATTTCCTCAGCAACCTGATTCAGATAAAACAACTGAAGTATGGTGTGGATAAGTGCATTTTTAAGAAAATTGAATTATTGCTATTAATATAGGGGTAAAATGATATATTATTAAAATTCTTCTTTCCATTTACACAAGTTCAATATTGATTTGGTCAATAGATGAGTTGATGATTTTTTTTTTTTTTTTTTTTTTTTTTTTTTTTTTTTTATCCCAAACCTATTCTAACAAGGGTGATAATTCAATGATCTATCCTAGCTCAAAAATTTGTATCTGCGCTTTATTTTTAGTGATTGCAAATGTTATTTTCTAGAAACTTAGAATTATTAGCCAGCGTAATTGCTTAGTTTTACAGATTGATTGACGTTTATGGTTATTGCTTTACTTGTATGGCTCTTAGCGTGATGTTTTGAAGTGTATAATTTTTCTAACCTTTTGATAGTTTCTACAATTTTACCATTTTAATTTATTTCACATTAAATTGAAAAGTTATTTTAACTATGGCATTCCAAAGTGTTGAGTATGAGTTGTGTGTTGTACACAGTTCAATAATTATTCTTTGGTAAATCAGTTTTATGGTTGATAATCATCTTTTTCATGTTGTTTTACTTGTAAACTTCATGATTTTGGGAAAAACCAACAAAGTGTTTAATAATTTAAGTAGTTGACTCCATTTTCTTATTTTACTTCCTTTAAATACCTCATTTCATATTTAATTGCATTAACAATTTTTTAAATCTGTTATAGATCAAATTGATGATAGACGAAGAAGGAGACAGAGGCAGGCTCGGAAAGAAAAGAAGTGGGAGCGAAGAATAGAGGAGGCTGAATTGTTGCGTTACCATCGTCGTCCAACTCCTAATCTCAGAATTGAATCACTATTTCATTTCCCACAGTGTGGTTTAGATGAAGCTAGGTCTGCCGAAATGAGGTACTTTTTTTTTTCAATGATTAGTGCATTATTCTATACTTATATGTCAATATTGTCGACTTGTAATCCACAGGGATGGTGTAACTGAACATTATTTCATGTCATAAGACAGTAAATATTATAAATTTATAGGGTTGGTGGCTTTCTATATTTATAAGCCCTATCTATATATAAGTTTTTTACCTATATAGAGTCTCTATCTAACTTCACCTGGTCGCCATTTTGTATTCCAGGGACTATATGCTGGCAGATTTGCATTTTTCTGCATTCAACCTATGTCATCAGTGCATCAAACCTGTGGACTCAGTCATTTTATAAGGGCAAAACTTAGTATAAAATGGGACACCTTTTTTTCCAAGAGCTCCCGGACTATTAACTATATATTTTTAATCTTGTTTTTGTAATGTATATATCGTGAGTTTATTGCAAAAAAAGTCATTTTAAGTAACATTTTAATGAATTTGAGATAATCGAATCTAAAGTTTCTGATTCATTAAAAAGATACTGAAATAGCAATTTGATTATTTATTTTTTGTTATTTGCAATTTTAAATATGTATTCTATTTTCGACAATTGATTAAAATACTTAGCATATATGTGTATAGATGACTTTGCTCTGTAAAGTTAGAACATTGTGCACTTAGTGAAACTATTTTTTACATATAAAAGGAATTGTATTATTTGTATGCACTTTAATGAGTTATTGAATTGATAAATATTGAAATTAACAACTTGGTGTTTAAATCAAACAGAAGCGTACTTTTGAATTTTTGCAATAAATTGACGATATTATCTATCATCATGCAGTCAAGGTTACCAAATAACCATATCATCCTATTTTCTAAAAAACTAAACTACATTTTAACAAAATAAAAATTTATTGTTTCTCTCTCCGTGTTTTCAATGTTTCTTCTTTAATTTTATTAAATTGTCTTGTTTAATGATTTTTAAATTCTTTAATAGTCAAATGCCAATTCTCCAATCACCAAGCTCCAGCAGATCAGTGAGCCCTGTAAATATGATGGCACGAAACAGATCGCCTTTGTCCTCTGCAGTGGCAGCATTGTCGTTAGAGGAAGAAAACAATTCTGGACCATCTTTTGCTCAGGCAAGTTTCTGTAACAAAATCATATTGATTGTTTTTTTTATTTTATAGAGAAGTTACTTCACTGGTTGATAAATTAAAATGGTGGCAGGGCTTTTTATTTAAAATACCTAAGGGTTCATAAAAGGATCCCCTATTTATCTTTTCAATAGATTTTTAATTCCTCAAAGACTACAATGAATAGCATTATTTTAATTTTTAAAACATTATCATTTGGTAAATAACCCATGGCAACCACATTACCTAAGATGTTTTCGGCAAAAATCACTCTTTATTTAAAACATAGGGTATTGTTAACTTTAATAACCTTGCATCAAATCCATCGCTCCTGAGAACTGGAAAAGGGATCTATTCTAGATATAGTGTAGATATGCTTTGCCTTATCAAAACAAAGTCATATATATTGTAAGGTTACGTTCCCTTCGAAAAGTAAACAAAACGGCTTCTTAATCAAATAATATTTATTTTAATCAATAATTAATTCTCGGGTTGGGTTTAGACAACAAACACACATCCTCAATTATACAATATAAAAGCATACGTTAATTATACAGCACATTTATGAATCTCCATTGTTTGTCAGAGTCTAATCTTGGCACGCTTTCGAACTGTCCATTTCTATTTCACTCACCCTGTTCTGCAATGAATCTTCCTCATTATTGTATCCAACTTCTACAACTTTCTCTTGTTCTTTTATTTTCTTGTCTTCATCTAGTAGACACTCGCTACTAGTTAACTCTCATTTTCTTCTCACCGATCCTCTTCACTAGCCGCCTGACTACCTTCACTCTCTAACATATGGAACCCTTCCCCCACTATCTGTCGTTCTTTGTCCATATTTGGCAGTAGTTCGTGACGTCACTACCTTCGCGCCACTATTCAAAATCACTATGTAATATTTACATTACAATATATATTTATATATACAGACAAATTATAAACCATTTAATTAGGTTATATGTTTATTTTTTCATCTTGATAATTATTATTGGACCGTACTGCAGTCAAAGAATTAAGATAATACGCTCAATTGTTTTTTCTAAGGTGATAATTTAATTTTTGTAGTTTTTATTATTAGCAACACATTATTGTTTTGCTTATAGGCTGGATCATAGTGCAGTATAAATCCGGAAAGCGTGTAGCTGAAAACCTCAAAATATGCAAAATCGTGCAGATAAAAACCAAAAATGTGTATTTAACAGCTTAAAAAGTTTGATTAATTTATCATATTAATGTATTTAAATCTGATCAAACAATGTGTTAAGCTTGTTTGTTTGTCACAAGAAAAAAAAATTAAAATGCAACATTAAAAATAAAATTCCTTTAGATTTTTTAACAGACACTTTAGAAATACTTATGCTCTGTAATATGTAATTGTGATTCTCAAATGTTCAAATATTGGTGTTAGTTATGCTGTTTTTCTAGATCACTAAACATATATTTTTGGGAGTTATGCTCTTTCTTAAAAAAAACATTAAATTCTTTAATAGAAATATTTGGTCATACCTGTTCTACAATGGTCTATCTGCAAATATGCAACTTATTCATCAAATTTCAATTCCGGTTAATTTTATATCCAGATATTAATTTTTGACAAGATTGAGATTCTACTTTCGCCATTCTTCTTCTTTTTTTTTTTTATTTTTAATAATAATGAAATTATTGCAATTCACTTGAACGCAAGCTTATAAAATTTGCAATAATATGGAAATCCAGTCTCTGCTTATAATGAAAAGAGTAATGTGTTGTACTATTTTTGTTTCTCATTATAAATTGTTTGTTTTTTTAGATGCTGAAGGATGGTAAAGGCATGATCACTCATGAGGCTTGGCCATCTATCGGTGGTAGTACAAGCAACGCTGCTACTGCCAGTGGCTGGCCAAGAAGGCAGCGCCAAGCAAGCGTAACCCAGGACTACATGGATTCTGATAACGATACGGCTTTCTCCCCTCCGGCTAGGCCTTCATTCAATATTGCAGAGGCTATTCAAATGGCTGCCTCCAGGGAGAAAGGTTTGTCATACAATTTTGCAAGTTTTGCTAAGGTGTAAGAATTATTATTATGCTTAGTGATAGAAATAGATTGTCACATTGAGTGAAATCCAACTGGATTAGCCATGGAATAAATTTACCACTTCAGGATTTTATCATTACTTGTTGCCTTTAGCGAATGATATATATATATATATATATATATATATTTGTAGTGGTCAGTGAAGTAATGGCAATATAATTTGGAAATGAGTAATTGTAATTATTATGAGAGGAAGGATTTTTTTTTTTTTCTTTGGTCGGTTTCGATGGTTCATTCATATGAACATATTTACTATTAATGGTCCAATTTCGATAAAAAAAATTTTTTTAATGTTTTGTTGGGAATTCGAAAATCTTTCTAGTCATCAAAGGTATAACCAAGCATATAAATTGTAAACATTTCGAGTTATGCACAAATAAAGTTTCCTTTATTCTTTACTTTTCTGGGCCTGAGGGATATGCTTATTTTTCTCACTTGAAGGAGAAGATGTACTGAAAATGAAAGTAAATGTCAAAGTTTAAAAAAAAAAAAAAAAATTAGTTTCTTGTAGATTATAATAAATAGCATTAATTAATTAATTTAAAAAAAAACTAAGCAACTCCTAGTATCGCATATAGGAACTGTGGCAAGCCCCCAGGAGACTTTCATTAAGAGTTATGATTTATATCGAAAACTACACTGTTTGGCTTTATAATGCAAGATCCAGTTACATTCTGAATAAACTTAATGTCAGTCTTCAAAATCTTTAAAACAAAATATGTCCCTTCTGGATGCTTCTACTTTTTTCTGTTGCTTTTATTAAAGTTCTACAAATTTAAGGATCAAAATCAGAATTTGTCATTACTTCTGACATCTCGTTGGTCAGAATACATCGTTTCTGTGAGTTAAGAACGGGATCTATACTATCGTATTATTTATAGCGCAGATTATGTTCAAAATCTTTTCTTCATTATTATTTTTTAGATTATTAATTTACCCATTTTGTTTTATATTCTCATTGCACATCCAACCCATTTGTTACTTTTATAAAATCTTTATAAGGGTTATGTCATTAAAGGATCTATTAATGATGAGTTATGAATTCAAATAGATATATATTTTCAATCAAATTAATTAATAAAAATTTAATAATACTTGGGATTTTACTTCTTGCTTACAGTAAAAACAATATTGTTCAAAATAAAAGGCTTAATCTTTATAATACGTATAAACCTATCCAACCTAACTAAGTTATATGGAATATTTGATAAAAAATGAAAATTTATTAAGTTGTTAATTTTATTTATGTATGTTTTTGAAAAATAGTTAAGTTCTACTATTTATCTATTAGTGATATACTATAAATTATTTTTTGATCTGTTGCTTAATTTCTATCACAGTCAACGGGTTACCAAATTGTTTGTTGTGATTCAGAATTGGAAAATATTGAACACATGTCCCATTATTAGTTCCAATGGGTCTTAAGAGCTAATACAAAATTATTTTATATAATTTTAGCAATTTTATATTTTTTAGAGATGTATATATAGTTGACTGTTGCCCGTATTATTCGTCATCTTTGATTCTTTTTTTTTTTTTTTTTTTTGTATTATCTTATCTTGGATTTGAAGATTACTATGTCTTAATCTACTTATTTTTATTTTGTAGAAAAAAAAACTATCTTCGATCCTAATTTGTTTTGGGAAGGTCGGGTTTGTGCTGTTTTGTGTAGTCTGTAGGGCCCTAAATACTTGATAATTTTATTGTGTATTGATGTATTTGTTTCGAAACTGTAACTATTTTTGTGAATTTAGGAATAAATAAAAAACACTTTGTGGACAAAATTTTTACATTTCGATTACTATAAAAATTCAGTTAATTAGCTCCAGAGATACCTATTGTATATAATATCTATAATACATGTGTTATTCTTTTTCCCCTTATGTTACTCTAGATACCTGCAACATTTTAACAAATTGGCCTGATTGACTTAGCTATGTGGGAGTAACAATTTTTTTAGCATTCAACGAGGTTGATATTTCATATTTTTGCTCAGAACATTCGCCTAAGAGCTTTTTATTTATTTTTTCAAAAATCTCAAAAATATTTGAAATCAGTGAATGACCACTGGCTGTGAACTCTCGTTTTGAGTTCTAGGTTTTTAAGAGAACTTAGAAGCTTTTAGATTATTTCCAATCTCTCCGAACTGTGTCCTTATTTCTGTTATTTTATTCTTCAACTTGCATTTGGCAATCATACAATTGAATGTTTCGGTTGTATTGATGTTACTAACCTGAAAAACCTAATGGTATATTTACAGTTTATTTGATATATTTGCAGGTGACAACAACTCTGGTGGTGGCGGTCGCAAGAAGAAGAAAAAGCAGCAGAAAATCTTATTCTCAACTGGATTCCAGAAGGGAAACTAATGTAGCACAGAATTCCCCATCAACTTGATCAGTAGCAAAAAAAAAAAAAAAAGAGTCCTTATATTATTAAATAGTTTGGTGTCCACTTTCTTCTATATGTTAGCTATCAGTCACTCTTTTAGAGGAAAATGTTTTATTGGATAAATATACTCTCTTACCACATATAATAATTTAAAGAAAAAAAAATGTACTAGGTATTGGTTATTACTTTTCCGTTGACTGTCTAAACATTAATAGTGTTTCTGTTATTAACTTGATATTAATAATATCTTAAGAGAGGGCAGGAAATGATTAAAGACGCTCTTTATCCCTATGATATTATGTCATGTATGAAAGAAAGAGAAAAAAAAATGAAAAATGTAAAAATAAAAAAAATATTGGTTATACTGTTACAAATCTGTTTATTTACTTTTAAATATTTTTTATTATTTAATGAAAGGTCGTGCTATGTGTAGTTCCTTTATGTTTTACTTTGTGATAAGCAAGCTGATTTAAAAAATTTTAGATATTTTTTTTTGTTTTCTGAAAAAAAAATTAATAATTAATTGCTATTAATGTACCATTTGGGAAATTTCTATTAGAATACAGTCCCAATAAACTCTGCAAGTTATCTTAATTTTTCTTATATTTTTTTTTTTGCAATACCTACCTTCAATATCATACTATAAGAAAAATGAATTGATTGTGAATGAATGGGTATGTGCTATTATCATATCATTAAAAAGAAAATATCAGTTATTAAATAGTAAGGAATAAAACAAGATTAATATACAAGTGTGCTACACTGTAAGGTGCTAGTTTACATGAAATGAAAATATTTTTATTATCCTGGGACTGTTGTCCCTTTAGAACAAAGCTAAGAAAATGCCTGTGTGGCCATACATTTAATTGAATATTTACAAAATAATATCTAATCAAAAAAAATATAGGAAGAAAAAATAACTAAACAAAGGAAAATTAAGTAAACAACATGGTTTCTGGAAGATCTTAAGAAGTTCTCTTATATACATTTCATGATCAGTCGGGTTTGGAAAGGAGTATGTGCCTAAAAAGGAGAGATTTAAATGAGGAAACTGATTATGCATGTCTTATATCGGAAGGGATAGAATTCCAAAAGGAGACTGCTTGAATTGCAAAGGATTTGTCAAACAGCAGTTCAGTGAGGAGAGGGATAGAGGTCAGAAGTATGGGATTGAATGTAGGATTAGAATTGTCGACTCTGAAGAATATAAGAGGGTCCCTGACTTCTAATGGCCTGGTATAGATAGATAGCAAGGAAGTACTGACGGCTGTAGGATGGATAGAGCCACTTCAGCTCGGTGTAATATGAGTATCTCTTGAGATCCTTAAGTTAAAGTGTATCAAGCAATTCATTAGGCGTTTAAGTTCGTCTTCAAGTTCTCCCGAGAGTTTACTGTATACCATACAGCTGGAGTTGAAGTGAGGGAAAACAAGAGTTGATGTGTTGTTTTTTTTTTTAGAAAGAGATAGCTTTGACGGTTGAACTGTTTTAGAGTAGAACGGGAAATTCGGAAAAAAATATGAGGGTTTTTAACGGAAGTTTGGAACGAAATAAATGAGTTGTTTAGGAGAAGATTGGGAGGTACAGGATTGGATTTTATGAGTGCAGGGGATCCGATAAGGATAGCTTTCATCTTCTCAGTATTTAGGGTGAGCCTATTGCGGATTGCCCAAGCTCATATTTTGTCTATATCTTACTGCAGTTATGGGATTGCTGCAGTGGAATCAGCCGAATTGAAGGAAGGTTAAATTTGGAAGTCATCAGCATATAGGTGGTATTAGCAGTGCAGGATAGAGGATGGAAGGTCATTGAGAGGGGGAAAAGGGTGGGAGATAAGGAGGATCCTTTATATGCTGGGCATTGTTGATTTTTCTCTTGGCAAGTAATAGGCAGGCTCTGTCTGGTTAGAAATTGTGTTTACACTAATACTTTTCACCTGAAATGAATGCCTAACATTCGGGGATTAGAAAGTTGGTTACAACTCAATGCTGAAGCCATAACCTCCCAACAATATTGTAAGGTCAAGGAAGAAATTATTGCTCCTTGAAGGTAGTTGTAGCTGTGATTCATTTATTTTATGGATTACTTATTGGGGTTACTAACTTTTTATTAAAATATTACAGTCAGGGCTATAAAGAAGATGAAACAATTATAGGAACATGAAAATTACTTAAATATAGACACATTAATGTGATAAAATTTGATTTAGTTGTTATTTTGTATTTACACTCAAACTAAAGAGCGTTCACAAATCTCATTGAGTGAGGAGATGTGTTTGCCCATAACATATACTTATCTCATTTGAGGCAATGACCTAATGGAACTACAATGCACAAAAGTATTTTGTTTGTTTCTGTTGGGACTGTAAAAATGTAAGGTGGAGTGGGGTAAGGGCAACCAAGTTTATTTTTATTATTATTTTTTTTTTTTCATTTTTAAACTTACTATGAGGTAAATAATAGGAATATGGAAATACAAACCAGCACACATTTAGGTTTATCTGGCTACATAATTTTGCAGTTTAGATATTTTTTGACCTTTCTTCAGACCATAGTCCAGTTCTGCTTTCACTACATTCTGACTTTGCTCCTAAACCATCACTTCCTAAACTGATCACTGGACGAGTAAACTGGGACAAATTTCGTGATGATTTGGAAAACAAACTAGACCTCAAAATTCCGCTTAAGATAAAAGAAGACATTAATGGTGCCATAGAAAAACTGACATCATCAATAACAGACATTATAAATAATAACACCTTTATCAATAAGATTAACTTGCCACAGCATGTTCGTATCTTATTAAAGGAAAAACGCAGAGCAGGATCGAAGTGGCATAGGACTAGATACCCAACAGATAAATCGCATTACACCCAACTGACTAACAAACTGAAATCAGAAATTAGAAAATACAAAATTCAAAATTTACTAAATTTAACTGAAAAGTTTACAACCACTGACAAATCACTATGGATGACCACCAAAAAACTTCTTAAGTTTCAAGACTTTAATCACCCACTACTTACTGATTCCCAAGCCTGGTCCAAATCCGACGAAGAAAGAGCCCAACTATTTGGTCAACATCTCTTCCAAACTTTTAACCCACATCCCGATATCCTTAATTCAACTCACATCAATTGTATTGAAGCAGAACTGGATATTCCTCTCCAAATGTCTCTGCCACCCAAAACATTTCATCCCATAGAAATATCCAACATCATTCAAAAATTACCTTCCCGTAAAGCTCCTGGACATGACCTAATTACATCCCAGATCCTAAAACTTCTTCCTCGAAAAGCCATCCTATTCCTTACTTACATATATAATGCTGTACTCCGTTCCACATATTTTCCTGATCCTTGGAAACGATCTATTGTTAAAATGATCCAAAAAACCACCAGAATACCCATCCTCTTACCATCCTATCTCTCTTTTATCCATCATGGATAAAATACTAGAAAAACTCATCTTAAAATGCCTGAACCCTATCCTAAATTCTAAACACATAATCCCAGATCACCAATTTGGCTTCCGAACTTCCCATTCCACTATACAGCAATGTCATCGTGTGGTAGACGTAGTCTCCTCTGCATTGGAGCGCAGAATGTACTGTACGGGAGTCTTTCTCGACGTTGAACAGGCGTTTGATAGAGTTTGTCACCCGGGACTGCTGTACAAACTCCGAAAATTCCTACCACCTACATACTTCCTCATTATCCGTTCCTACCTTACTGATAGATACTTTAAAGTAAATCACAATAACGCCTATTCATCCCTTTTTTTCCAGTCCGCTGGTGTTCCTCAACGTAGTATCCTAGGTCTTATCCTCTATACAGTTTATACAGCTGACATCCCTACCTGTCCCAACACTGTCATCACCACCTATGCCGATGACACATGTATCCTATCAGTAAACAATGACCCAGCGATTGCATCCCAAATGCTTCAATCACACATCATAAATCTAGAAGAATGGTGTCAAAACTGGAGAATTAAAATAAACCAATAAATCCCACCAAATTACCTTTACCCTTCGTCGTAAACCAACGACTTCCTGTCCTACAGTTTCCTTTAACAATACTCCACTTATTCCTGTTGAGCAAATCCGATACCTAGGACTCCACCTGGACAAACGACTAACTTGGAATCCTCATACTAGACTGAAATGACAACAAATGCTCTATACTTTCAATTAATTGCAAAAGACTCATATACATGATTATAATAAGGCCTATTTGGACTTATGGAGTTAAGCTAAGGGATTCCACTAAACCATCGAATTCCTCTCGCATACAATCCTTACAATCCAAAATCATTCGTAAAATCCTCAATGCTCCTTACTTTGTCACTAATAAAATTATCCATAAAGATCTTAATGTTCCTTATGTTTCAGATCTGGCCCAATCCAGATACCTATCCTTCCATAATAAACTTCAGAGTCATCCCAACCCTCTCGTTTCTAACCTTGCTTCCTCTTCAATTCCTGATAACCCTCCAAGGCGTCTGAAAAGAAGATGGCCCCGTGATCTCCTAATGTAGTCATATCATTAGAGTGCTACCATTGGGTAGTTACTCAGCAAGTGTATTCATGTCATTAAGAAATTTTAAAAAAAGATATTTTTATTATTTTCGGTAAATTGAAAAAAAAATTCACTACCACTAGTTGCACTTTACCCCATGCATTCGGGATAAGTGCAACCTCGCCCGAGGATCCCCCATAAGAGGCAATATCAATGACAGTGGGGCAAGTGTGTTATAGCTTGTTTTCCGCTGATGCTGCCATTATTTATTTTATCTTAATCCATTTGGGAGATACAAACTTTTTTGTGAGTTAATGCGGGGATGATTGGTAAAATTTAAAAATCAGGTGATTTCTTGATTATATTCAGCTTTTTCATGAGATTTACCTCGGGGCAAGTTAAACCAGCAACTTCGCACTTACTCCAGTCTCCGTGGCTGCACTTGGTCCGTGTGCAAAAATGACTAGGCTAGTGTAGCCATGCCTCTCTTTTTTAAAATATTAACCCATTACCAAAATAAGGTATATTTCTGAAAACTACATTTATACAAAAAAATGCCAAAGTTTCATTGAGTGCAAAAATGTAAGTATTTTTAAATAACAATTTATATATGACAAAATATATAAATAAAAATATACAATTAGTGAACATTTAAAGAAAATTGTCTGAAATTACAAACCAAGTGGTTTTTTGTAAAAAAAAAAAAAAAAAATCATTTTTAAGACAAAAACTAGCCGTGGCAACCCAGCAAAATATATAAGATGCTGAAAACTGCGGAATATTTATAAAAGTATTGGCATTAGCATCTCATGAACCTGACCTGAGATATAAAATTCCTTCATTGCCTTAGACTACTTCAAGTACAATGAGGATCACCAGAACCTCAAACTTTGGGACCACCACAAAAGAAGTACATGGCTCATATGTGTGTTTAAAAAAATATTTGCACTATAACATTTGGAACATGCAAAACGTTTTTTTGTAAAGAGCATTTAGAACAATAAATACAGGCTTAGAATGTGATAAAGAAATTGAAAGTGTAGAGAAAGAACTAATATTATTTTAATAAACATTATTGCATGTATTCTATTATAAATTTTAAATGCTGTCATTTATTTCAGGGTTTTTTTTTTGTTTGTTTACCAAAACCTTATCATTAATATTTATTTTAAAAAACAGTAATTCAAATATTAATAAAAAGTAACTTTTTTTAATATTAAGAATTCATTTTTTAATTTAAATAGAACAAAATATCGGTCAAACAGTAGAAAAAATGAGTTTTGCATTAAATGCAATCCGCGTCTACTCATGTAAACAGGATTGGCGCACTTCCTCCTCACGGGTTAATTAAGTGAAATTAAAAAAAAAGATTGGTTACCTTAATTGAGATATAATTTTAGTTTAAATATATTGTTTCTAAATAGTAATGAATCAGAATAATTAAATTCTTCAAACTATAGAAACTGTCTTGAATGTTATAGAAATTGAGGACAAAAAAAGTTAATTATTTTAGATATGTGAAATATATTTATTTGTCTTCTCTCTTTTTAGTTAATAGCGATTTTGTAGCTTATAATATTCATCTGTGCCATAAACCTTAAATCATGACAACCATAAGACAACTGATTCAAACATTAATGCAGCCAACAATTTCTATTGATAAATTATTAATTTTCAGATTTTGTAAAAATATTAATTTGATAATAAAGTGATCCTAGATTCGATAATTTAAAAAAAAAAAAAATCATTCTTCTTGGACTTGTAATTTGATTACTATTATGAAGATTTGATTTTATAATTAGCCTTAATGAAAGGAAATGAAAGATTTTTACTATTAGTTTTAATTGGCAAGCTGTTAAATAGGCCACTTAAGTGTATATTGAAAAATTACATGCTGTCCCTACCGCAGTTGGTGTAGTGGATATCTCACAGTTACTGCCAGGTTAAGGTAAATGTTTGTTGTTTTAATTCTGTTATGTATTTGTAAATCTAATTTTAAGTTTTTAGAATGATGTAATTTTAATGAATCTTTATTAATAAAGATTTCAATTTCGAGGACATGGGAAGAAAATTGTTGAGCCCGCTTTAGTTCAATTCAAACATAATAATTTAAATTCATGAATGAATAGTGACTGTGTGGGTTTCACAGATTTCTACAAACAAAAATAATTACTGCAAATCAACAACAGAATTTTCCTTTAAATGTCATTCAGTAAAAGTTATATTTACCGAATATACCTAAATGTTATGTAACATTGTAAGTGAGAACGGTTTATTTTTTTCCCTGACACTGTATGGGTTCAGCAGTATTAGCTTTATTATCTAGGATTAGAGAGTTTAAGGCATCAGTCCATATCCAGTGCTTGGGGTAACAGTATATAAGAGTATATGTATTAGTTTTACAATTTATATGTATGTATGTTTCATATTTTTGTAACTATGATTCTCCCTTCAAAAGTTTTATGAAAATTAATTGGTTAATAACAAATCTCTGCATTATATAAAAAAGTTTTTAGATACCGTGTAATATTTTATTTTACTATAATATACTAAAATTATTTTAGTATATTATTGGAAGCTCTTGCTGGAAAACTTCACATTTAATAATTAACTATTAATTATTGATTTTCAGTCGTGATATTGATCTGGAGGTAGTTTCAATTTTACCTGGGTGACAGCAATTAATTTAATTCATATAAATGTGATAACTGTAACCAAAAAGAAACACTCCAACATATTATGGAATTCTCTGCCTATAAAAATCAGAGAGGAGGATTTCTAAATCCATACAATGACAGTCTATATACAAAATTATTAACATCAAGCAACCCCGAGGAAATTATAAATGTTACGCAATATTTGTAATCAATAAAAAGGTATATTTAAAATGAAAATAGTGAAGAATAGGAACACAACTAAATAATTTTACACTGGCTGCATGGAAAATTCCAGGGCCAAAAAAAAAAAAAAAAGATTTTTCAATCTATACATCTCCCCTTCGATACAATATATTAACTATTGTATTATATATAATATTATTTATATTATATCGCGATATAATTATAATAATTATGAAATAGAAAAGGAAGCACATCATAATGTACAATGAAAATATTAGAAATACAAGACTCAAACTGATGCTGAGCTTATATGAAGTTTGACAAGTTGAAGATTTATTTTTTTATTTATTTTGACATATAATAATCTGTCTCGTGGACAATAATTATAGTGATATATGAACACATTCACACCATATATACAGAAAATATAAAGAATATTTATTATAAATTGGCAATAATGTGCAATGTATAATATGGATTTGTAAATAAATTAAAAATTTGTCCAAACTGTGGTATCATCCCATTTATTTTATGTTGATAAAAAATAGTACAATCTGAACTACAGAATACATATAAATTAGTTATCTAATATGAGCAACGAGTAGTACAATTAATTGAACAGTTGTATAATTTGTAAAATGGGGGCTGGTCCGTTGTATATAACGAATTATTAATATATATAGCAAATTGTAATATTTTAACTCTCTGAGATAAAAAAGCATAGTAATTGGTTCAAAACAAATACCTTTTGCAATACTCCTGTTTTTATCATTAGCATCGTGATAAAGTTAAACATGAAAAACCCTATTTAAAATTCTCTTATATATTTTAATCAAATGGTTTTTTAATTTAGAAGCATATTTGAAGCTACAATTTTTAACATGGCAAAAATTATCAATAAGCATCAGTCGCTTTTTCACAACTAATGAAATAATAAAAAAAAAGTTGGAATTATTTCTGATGAAATGAGAATATTAAGATTAAGAGTGTGGAGAAATAAATCTGGTGCCCTCATCACACAACTTTTACTTATCATCCTACTTTAATAAGAAAATTGTTTAAAATAAATTGACTTTAAGAATATTTCAGAAAAGTTTTTATTACATATGTTCATGAAGAAACAAAAAAGAATTGAACTAGATACATTTTCCTGAAAATTGATAAAACATAAGATTTGAGTACGATTTTACGATATTAGATAAACTAAAGCAATGTAAACCGGCTTAAGGTAGATCAGTGTAAAAATTTCAATACTTCCTAATATTGCTGATCCAAACATTTTTGCCATAGCTTAGTATTGTCAAACAATAATTTCTGTTAAAAGTAGAGGAAATAGTGAAGATTGTGTGATGCGGGCAACAGATTTTCTTACTTTCACTTAGTCATCTCTATTCTCTCATTCACCCATTTCTGACAGCAGGATATGAAACCGTAATCTTACATTGGAAATTTAATAGCTGTAACTTCGTTAATAGTTGTCCAAAATGAACGATTTTTATACGTCTTTGTAGGGAATTTCATTACCTTTCAAACGACAGGCTAAACAGCGACAGACAGACAGACCAATGGTTATAAATGTGTTTTTCGGGCTCAGGGTGCTCTGAAACGTATAGATCCGTCGAAAACCGCATGTCGGAAATTTGACCCGATTGCAATAGTTTCCTTAGTGTAGGTAGGAAAGTAAAAAATACTAAAAACTATCTCTTAAAGCAATATTATTTGTGTAATTACATTTAATAGGACTTCAAGAATTGCTTAAACACCATGTCATATAGGTAGTTTCTTTCTTTATTTTTTAATTATCGTTATACATATGAAAAAAATGCTTTCGGGCTGAAGCCCCTCCTCCCCAAAATTAAATCTTGGATCCGCTAGTGAGTAGTGCTGCATACAATTACTATAAACTGTGTACTATGCATATTTTTGGTTTGTCTAGCTAAAAATAATTCATATTCCTTCAAAAACATACAATGTAAGAAATATTCTATCATTTATCAGGTACTCCATCATTTACCTAAAACAATTTCATATTCATTAAAACACTATTCCTAGATTCTCCTCTACGTGTTTCCCTTTTTATTTACTTCTGAATGTATAAATTACTTTATAAAAAGTATTATTACATTATAAGATAATAAAATATTGAAACTGAAGACCCGAGCCAGATAAATATAATATAGTTTTCATTTCGTGGGAACTTTGTTTACACCAGGTCCTTTTTCTTTTCTTTTTTTTTTAGACATATGAGACTTGACTCTGTGGTTGGGAGTGTGTAAAATAAGGAGACCCCCAAGGCTCTATTACATCATATGTAATTTTCTTTATTTAAACAGACATAGAAGTAGCTTCATTCGAAGAAATGGCTCATAATATGTACAACCTACTCTGTGTTTTCGTCTTGGCGCTCGTTCCGGACATACTTTCCTCCCCTATCCAGCCCAGCCTCCAATTGGACCAAGGGTTACTCAAAGGAAAATACGAGAGGACACTAAACAACCGGAAGATTTCGTCCTTTTTAGGCATACCTTACGCAGAACCTCCGATATCAAAGCTTCGTTTTGAGGTATTTATATAATTAATAATGGAATAAATTAAATTGATCTCGTTGTGTAATGGTAAAATTTTAGGCAGCAGTGTCCCCATCAAAATGGTCAGGAATTTTAAACGCTACGACCTTGCCTCCAGAATGCTTACAATACAGCCATATGACTTACAAATACGATTTCTGTCAAGTAACAGGCTCCGAAGACTGTCTTTACCTGAATGTTTACACTCCGAAGGTAAGTAATAAAGTTAAATAACTACTTATTTGTGTAATGAAACTGCTTGAAGTACTCGAACAAATCTAATTACAAACATGTTAACTGTATGTCCTCTAAGTTAGTCCTCTTAAACTCTGCTAGCCTGAGTTTTCTTAAAACTGTTTTTTTACCGATTAGGGTCTCCACTTGTATTGAGCCGCTCCTGAAGGTCATTTCACGAATAGGAAACACAAATATTAAATGGTTGTTTCTCTATGTTAGTGATTTTATTTCTTGTTTTTTTTTTATGTTTTTCTTCTGCTGTCGATTACAAGATAAATAAAAAAGAAATTTAAAGGGTCTAGAGCTAATGTTGCTGTTAGTTAAGTTTGATACTTGTTTTTTCCATAGTTTGTGAAATGTTTAAACGTACTTTGAATATTAGAAAATACAGTATTAATTTAGTGCTCATGAGTATTTATATCAAATAGCTTATATTAAATATATTAATACTGTACTTTCTTGGGTAATATTACAGGTAAAAGTATCATTTTGATCCAAAAAAATTGGTAATTTAAATTAGTTGACACAAAGAACTTACCCGTGAGACCCGCCGATGGTGGTTGGGAAGCAAATGGTAAAAAGAAATGCAACACTTCATCCTTTTTTTTATAAAAAATATTTAAATTATGTATTATTCATAAGGTATTTATAAATTCGTTTAAACATGTCAATAAATTGACAGAAATACTGAAAATGTAACAGTTAGAATATTTATTTTTTAAAAACGATGTATCGCAAGCGAGGGTGCCCATCAAAAGTTGTCACATCAATTGTATGTGTACACTGTCGGGATATCACAAAGAGAAAATTCATCAAATTATTCACTAATTTATTTTTATAAAAGTTTACATGATGATTTTTTGGAATAAGCGGACGATAGATACCTAATTATTTAAATATAATATCAGATCTAGAGTTATTAAACTACAGTAAATGTATTTAAGGTTACATATCCATGAAATATTTTTATGATTTACGTTAAATAATGTTAGTTTTCAGAAATTATTATTTATATTTTTTTCGTCATTCTCTGTTACCTTCTACAATTTCATTTATTAGATATTATTATTTTATTTTTTTTATACCTTCTGCCTATTATTTCCGGAGATTCATTTTCGACCTGGATAAGCATTTTTCTTTTTTTTTCCTTTATTCAATTATCAAATACTTTCAAAATAAATTTAACCATTTTTTATAGTTACTATCAATAAGAGAGAGTTATTTTTTAAAAATAAACCAAATTAAAGATACTTTAGAGGAAGATGTATATGGACATCTGGTATGTAAGCACTGTAAAGTTACATCAATGTGGATAAGACCTAACTGATATTAAAAACATCTTCGTAATACATTAATTTACCGATTTTAATCAAAATAGTTAGAGCCGTTTTCGAGAAAATCTTAAAAATATGTATCACCGATGATATAAAGTGGCACTTCCGGTCAGCGGATAACGAAAACGTTTCTTTCACGTCGGAACCATATAAAAACCTTAAATATGCAATTTAAATTTCGTTTTTTGAGTTAGGCTGTTCAAACACACACACACACACACGCCGACTATTTGGCAGGACTTGGTTATTTCGACTCAGGGGACCTCAAAACACGTATTTTCGTTGAAAACTAAGATTCGAAAATTTTCACGATCGCAATACTTTCCCTTACTATATATTACAAAAGTGAAAGTAAAAAGTTTCCATGTCAAACTTTTTCGTAGGATTCATTATTTATGGCTACCGAGCAAAAACCTATAAAGAATCTGAACTTTTCATATTTTTTTGGAACTCGATCCCAGGATGTACTATAGCTACGAGTTTCGCATTAGTCTCATAATTTGGATGATTTAAAACAGTAAAAAAAAGTAATGTATTTTTTGTCGAATAATTAAAAATAAAAATTAATTAATTAATAATTATTGACAACCTCAGGATAAAAACTTTAATTTTTCAGTTTCTATATTAATAGCTCAAAATTAATTTTTATAATATGCTTTGAATTTCTTTTTTATTCCAAAATACTGGCAGTTGCTCCCCAAAGGGTGACACTGGCTATTGACATCTTCAATATAATTATTATTAATATTGTAATTTACAACAATTAAAAACAATGTAAATTACAACTTCCAAATAATTTTAAGTATACACAAAAAAAATAAACAACACGTGGATTGAACTTTTTTTATATCTTCAGAAATAGTGATTTGAGCATATGAAATCTGTAATACATGATTAATGTGGGTAATGTGGCCAGATGATAAATTCAAGTTTAAGATCATCCTGGAATGAAACTCGTGTTACCAGATCTAAACATAAACCAGCCTAGTATTTTCAGAGAAAAGCCAAAGTAAAAGAGCAAACAGCAGATAGGTTTATTTAATATAATTTTTAGATTATATGTGTCTTGAAATATAAAACTTCATATTTTGAAAGGATTAATTTATTTTTTGCAAATTTTTAATTTTCATTATTAAAATTATAAACTATTAAAAATTTTAAAGTTGTAGTAGATTTTCAAGAACATAAATTTATTTTCATATTTATATTATCTACTTTCCACAAACTGTGCTTTCTCGATGAACTTTTATTCCATTAATATATGTTGTGGTTGCTTTCCATCCTTATGAAAAATAAGGTTTCATATCGGTTAGCTTTGTCCAGATCTCACCCTTATGCTTTCTTTATTTCATTGATTTAAACTTCATTTAACAACCATTTTAACTTGGTACACACCATCTCTTTCTGCCTCGTCACTCTTTCATTCTAAATTAAATGACCTAAGTTAACTAAATTACATGACACTACAATAATACATTTTTATTGTATTGATTTCATTAGATTGTATGGAAATTTAACTTTAAATATTAAATAAAAATTGAAGTACCTTTTGATAATTTATTTAGGCTGATATGTTACAGATTATTTTTCATCAGTTATCACTATTAATCATTAAAATTAATTATTCTGCAATTTAAATTATATATGTTTTTAAACAATGGATAATTTTTATTGTTTTAGTTAATTTAAGGGATTTTGTTTTTTTATTTTTATCCCTTTATAACAACAACAAAAAAATCACCAACACAAAGAAATTCATACCCTTTTTATTGTTATTTGGTGAAATTCTCTTTATTTTTATTTTTTAAAAGGTTTAAAATTTATAGTAAGTAAAGATTCTTTGATGTTTCATTAGTTGAATTTCTAAATTTGCAGCTTTTTGATGGCAGTGAAGTGAAACCAATGGACGTGATTGTATTCATTCACCCTGGGACATTCATGTACTTCAGTTCATCTTACTCAAGCCCTGCTGCATTACTTGACAGGGATGTAGTATTTGTTACATTCAACTACAGATTAGGCATACTTGGTATGTAGTTTTCGGTAAAAATTTTCAATGAATAAAGTACGATTCAACAATAAAGATTTTATTTATAATGCCCAATGTTTATGAACAGAGATGAAAAGATAAGGTTTTCAACATTGTTTCTAGGTTTTCTTAGCACTGGAGATCATATCGTCCCCGGTAACAACGGCCTAAAAGACCAAATTCTAGCACTGCATTGGGTTAAAAAGAATATTAGAAGTTTTGGAGGAGACCCAGATCGGGTTACCATTGCAGGCCTCGATGCTGGGGCAGCTAGTGTACATTACCATCTCTTGTCCCCTCTCAGCAAAGGTAACAACTTGTCAAAGATTTGATAAGCAACATTTTAATAAAATTGAGATATTATTCTAACCTTATCAGCTTTAGTTGTTCATAGAAATATTTTCTTTGTTTAATGAACTACAAGTTTTAATTTTTCATTTGAGAAAATAAAATGTTAACCAATTACAAATTTATTTTTCTTATCTTAATTAATCATAAAAATATATTATAAATTTTTTCTTTTTGCGAATAAAACAGGAGAATATAGCCATAGTGGTTACTAAAATAAAACCAAAAATCTGGTGTGTGCAACGCACAACCTTCACTTACCGCTCTAATTTGAATAGAAATTATTTTCTGGCAATGTTGGGCAATTATAAAATTTTTGAAGTAAATTTTTAACCGAGCTAAAGCTTATAGCTTACAGCTAACAAATCATTAATACCATTAAAATAACAAAAATCCTAGAAGGAATTTAGTCGACTGTTCTACATATCATGGGTGATAAATATTGAGGATGCAGTCTTTTTTAAATTTTATTTTATTTTTGCCAACGTTTCAACCCAAACATGTGGGTCATCTTCAGGGCGTGGTTTGAGCACTGAGGTTGTTCATGTACTCTAAAACTCTAAGGTTGAGTACATGAACAACCTCAGTGCTCAAACCACGCTCTGAAGATGACCCACATGTTTGGGTTGAAACGTTGGCAAAAATAAAAAAAATTTTAAAAAAGACTGCGCTCTGAATATTTATCACCCAACAAAAATCCTATTTATTATATCAACGGTTGATTATGGATTGTACGATCCGTTGGTTATGGATTGTACCACTATTAGTAATTACACTGTTATTTTTCATTGCAAAGTTTTCTAAAATGGAATAACGAGATATGCATTGTCTGTCATAGATAGGTCAAAAGTTGTCACTATATGGATACTGTTGGGATATCACAAAGGGAAAATTCATCAAATTATTCACTAATTTAATTTTATAAAAGTTTACATGATGATTTATCCGAATAAATAGACAATAGATACTTAAGTATGTTAATATAATATCAGATTTAGAGTTATTTAACTACAGTAAATGTATTTAAGGTTGGTTATAAACATTTATTTTTTTTTATATTTCATTTCTTCTTTTACACAAGTACAATGAAATAGTATTTTAAATAATGTCATTAATTACCTTGATTTGGTGGATTTCAAATAATTTTTTTTCAAACAAAAAAAAATTTTTAAGTTTATATTTATTTAAAAAATTTCATTTATTTTCCTTGAAAACAAGTGATTTACATTAAATAGTGTTAGTTTTCATAAATTATTATTTAGATTTTTTCTGTCAGTCTCTGTTACCTTCTACAATTTTATTTATTAGATAGGTGTGAATGTGTTTTATATATTTCAATTTCATTTAGCTTCTCTCTATTTTTTTTTATTTATTTATTTTATTATTTTTTTTCACCTATGTATGTTAATTTTCTTATTTTACTTTCCACAACTCTTTTTCTTTTATCTCTATTTTAGTTATCATTTGTATGTATATATTGTGTGAATGTTTAATGTAGCCCTAATATTAATGCTCTCCAATGTGGCAGAATGTATTAATTTTCAAATAAAAGAAAACAGAAATTTATTAGATATTATTTTTTTTTTTAAATTCCCCGCTTTCCAACAATATATTATGTGTATACCTTCTGCTTATTATTTTCGGAGATTCATTTTTGACCTGGATAAGCATTTTTATTTTTTTCCTTTATTCAATTATCAAATTCTTTCAAAAGTTATATTAGCCATTTTTTATAGTTACTTTCAAAAAGAGAGTTATTTTCTAAAAATAAACCAAATTAAAGGTACTTTAGAGGAAGAAATTTTGAACATTGATTTTATCAAGCAACATCAATAGGGATAAGACCCAAATGATATTAAATATTACTTAATTATACATTGATAAACCGAGTTTAATCAAAATCGTTAGAGCTGTTATTGAGAAAATCGTAAAAATGTGTAAAATCGATTAAATAAAGTTGCACTTCCGGTTAGCTGAGAAATTTTAGAGAAATACATAAAACACTTATGAACAGTTCTGTCTCATATTATGTAAAAATAATTTTCAAAGATGATCACATTTTTTCTTATTTCTGAAAAATTGACTGAAAGTATTAAGTGGCTATACAATTATTCATTTCCTTGTTCCAATTCAACAGGGTTGTTCAAATCTGCCATATCTGCTAGTGGAAGTGCGCTATGCCCTTGGGCAATAGCTGAGAATGTCAGGGAGAAAGCAGCCAAAGTAGCAGATGAACTGGGCTGCCCGACAGGAGATTCAAAAGCCATGGTGGACTGCCTAAAGGACAGACCAGCCACAAACATTGTCGGCTTCTCCAAATTATTCATTGTAATGTATTTCTACTTTGTGTGATTAAGTGATCATTTCATGTTTTCCTAAATTTATATGAACAAAATCTGTTTCTTTTAGCCCTGGCTTTACAATCCTTTTGCACCTTATGGGCCAGTTGTAGAGAAGGATGGACCAAATGCATTCATATCTGATTCACCACTCAATATCATCAAGAAAGGAAAAGTAAATGATGTTCCATGGCTGGTATCTTTCACATCAGAGCAAGGCTTATACCCAGCTGCTGGTAAGCTTACAGTTATATTATAGTGGTTTTATTAACAATTGTACTATTCGTCAGTTATAGTATTAGTAGGGGTGTCCTACCCAAATATTGGGAAATCCGAAACTTGCATGTTGCCGGCCAATAGGTTCTAAAAAAAAAAAAAGAAATCAACTTCTCTTTCTGAGATGAAAGGATTTTTTTCCACTTGGTATGTTTGATATAGGTAACAAAATTTTTATCTCAGTACAAACACTTCTTTGTATAAATAAGATGTATTAACTCTTTTCATTATGTATGTTTATTCTCAGCATTTACAAAATGAGCACAAATATTTTTTGAACACAAGCATCTTTACTATACAGAAATTATTTTTGTAAATTGGCAGAATATAGGGGAGAGAGGGTACAGGTTTGAATAGCTCAATTCGGAAACCTATTGTCATGGCTCACATTATAAAAAAATTGAGCACCTCTGAAAATTGTAATGAGTTATGATAGTGATAAATAGATAACAGTTATGAACTATTATATCATAAGTACTTTAGTGTACAATTACTTACAATTAATTATGTATTAATTAATTTTGGCTGAATAATGGCAAAACTATTTTATTAAAAGCCAACGTCTCGACCCGACTTTGCTGGTCTTCTTCAGGGAGGTGTCTTCAGCTAGGAAATTCACTTAGAGCTGGATTCTATTCAGCCTATTTATGACAGCTACCCCGGACCATCTCCTTCCTTTATAATCCAACGGTCAACTATTAAATATTCAATATTAATTAATTTTTTGTGTCATAATGTGACAAAATAGTTGACTACTCTTTAATGGATTATTCTATTTATTTGTGGTTGTCAGTCCAACTACTTAGAACTAACTTCAGACATCCTGTAGTTTTGTTGATGGCGAGATTTTTTTTATTATTAGTTTTGGACCGCTCTCCAGAATGCACTTACTTTTTTAACATAAAATCAAAGTTGCTGGTAAATAGGGTCAGATTATATTTTGAATATATAGCGAAGAAGAGAGCTTTTATATCAATTATTGTTGTCTGAGATATTCCCTTTCATATACTGCAACAAAGGACTGTCTTATTGTTTTTATTTCATAATCATCAATATCAATATGAATTATTTTAAACTTTTTTTGAAATTCTTGGTTGATGCTACCCATTCTTTAGTTTTTCAGTGTTATACTTCTTTAGTTTCCTAAGTTAAAATTACTTATTATATATACTTTGGTAAAACAATTATTTATTGTTGGATATGCAGATGATATAGGTGTCCTCAGAAGCAATCAAGAGAACATGGAGAGACTTGATAAGACAAGAGAAACAACAAATCCTACGCATCACAACCAGAGCAATCTAGTTCAGTCATTGTTGTATCATTTACTAATTCTAATTTTGAAATAATCTCTTCAGATGTACTCTAAAAAGTGGAAAAGTTCATCATCTGTTTTAGTTGTTAAAGTTTTTTATTATTATTATTACTTCCTAATGATATTTACAACTGTATTAAAGAAATACACTTAGTAAATTTGAACATATAGATATAATGATTTGAAAACACTTGTTGAGAAACTACCCAATGGTAGCACTCTAATAATATGTCTACATTAGGAGATCATGGGGCCATCTTCTTTTCAGACGCCTCGGAGGGTTATCAGGAATTGAAGAGGAAGCAAGGTTAGAAACGAGAGGGTTGGGATAGTTCTGAAGTTTATTATGAATGGATAGGTATCTTGATTGGGTCAGATCTGAAACCTAAGAAACAATAAGGTCATTATGGATGGGTTTATTTGTAACAAAGTAGGGAGCATTGAGGATTTTACAAAGGATTTTGGATTGTAAGGATTGGATGTGAGAGGAATTCGATGGTTTAGTGGAGTCCCTTATCTCAACTCTGTAAGTCGAAATAGAGCTTATTATAGTCATGTATATGAGTCTTTTGTAATTAATTGGAAGTTTAGAGCGTTTGTCTTGTAAGTGCTGAAGTAATAGGAAACGTTGAGCGGTTTCTTGTCGTTTCAATCTAGTATGAGTGGTTGTTAAAGTTAGATTGAACAACTGAACTCTGAATATAATTACTATTATTTTTCACAGAAACAAAATCAATTAAAGCATTTTGAAATAACCAGTGCCGGCCTCAGAGCCAGGCAACCCAGCCAATTGTCTCGGAGGTGCCTACCATTTGTTAGGAATAAAACAAATTATTCAAAGGTGTATAAGAATATTTAATTTTAGCTTATTAATAAAGAAAATGAATTAGAAACACTTTGAATAGAATGAAATTCAAATATTACTTAATATCAAAAAGCTTCAGAAATAAATTAATGTTTCGGGATAAGATGACTTCATTGTCCAAGTGCCCCAAATGTCTAAGGCCGGCCCTGGCCACACTTAATATAAAGACATTTACAGTCAAAACAATAGATGAATAAATGATTTTACAATATACAATCAGTTATAAATTCTGAACTGATTAAAGATTTATTTAAATATATATGTTATATCTCCTGTATTGCAGAACTGTTAGGAACTACAAGCTATATCACTGAGATGGAACAGCGCTGGGAAGAACTCCTGCCACACTTGTTAGATTTTAACTACACTGTTGCTCATGATAGATTAGCAGAAGTCAGTAATGCTATCAAAGACCACTACAAGATAAATTTACAAACAGCTGAAGGAAAAAAGAATTTCATTCAGGTATGATATTAAATTTGTCATTATTTCAATGCTGTCCTATCTGCCTTAGTTACACAAGAATATTAAACCCATCAAGATTTCATGATGGTCAAGCATTTTGAAGCGTTCTCGTTTTAGCATTCTCATGTCTTGTGATGTCAGTTCAAATCCGCCGTGGGCAGGTGAAAATTTATTTCTTTACAGAATGAATCTCGACCTTCTCATTCTGGTTAGAACATTTGGTTGTACCTCAAGAATATAATTTAAATTTTACATGAAAGATGAATTATATATTTCAATGAAAATTTCTTTAAAAAAACAACAACATAATTTTAAAATTATCCCCTTCACACCGAGGAAACATTTTTATAAATAAACCCATATTTTTCAAACTTTATAATTGTTATCATTATTAGGAGTTTTAGAGTGGTAGTGGTTATGACTTATGACCAATCCCATTTCAATTATTGTACCAACTTTGATGTTGTTTTTTTTATTTTATCTCTGAATTTAATAATTATATCTAATAATACAAACTTCAATATTTTTTGCTATTGGAAGATGTTTTAATGAATTTAAAACCTCCAATAATATTACAGCTATTCAGCGATCGTCTTTATTTACAAGGGATCACCCATGCAGCCAAATTGCATGCAACCCAGCTCAGTTCTCCTGTTTACATGTACAAATTTTCTTATCCAGGGAGATATAGCGTCTCCGATACCATGACAAAGTTTCAACCAGTTGAGCGACATGGTAAGTTCGAAATTTTATTAAAACCAATTATTTTAGTCTTTGGAGACTCCTGTTATTTACTGTCATAAAAGAGCACATAGCCTAATAATATCAATGGATTAGAGAAATGTTTAAAATCTAAATATTTTGAAGTACAGTTGAGCATCTTCTTCAGTTTTCTTTCAGAGTGATCTTAACTAAATCGATCCATTAGTGTTTTTTATTGGTTCCATAACTGAATCACTGCTGTTTGATCAAAATGATTTAAGTCATAATTTATCAAAAAAAAGAATGTATTTATATCTTCTTGTCCAACAAATTGTAATTATTTTATTGGTATAAAAGATTCAAGTCTTCTAAGAATATATATTTATTTATTTATACTTAATATACACTCATGTGATTCATAAGTAATGTCAACTAATGAAAGAACCATACTTTTTGTACAAGAAGAAGTAAAAACTTTTTTTTTTTAAATGGTTCTTTCACTAATTTTGACAAATAACCCACTGATATACATTTTAACATTTTAGGATCTAACAAACCAAAATAGTTATGTATATGATAATAATAATAATAATAATAAATTTATTTATTGAGCAATTTTACAAATGCCTTATGGCATATTTTGTAAATGTGATGGTCGTTTGCGAACCTCCTCTTCGGGATTAGCGTGAATGCGGGATTGGAGAAGCCTCCCAGTGAAGGCACTCCTAACGTGACTTATGTATATGATATTAGGAATTTTTAAGAGAAAAATAGGTACAAGTTACAAAATTAAATAAAAATATAGAATTACATGAAATACAAAATTTCAGTGAACCAAGTAAATGGTTGGTATGAACGAATATTGTCTATGTCTGATTCAAATGTTAAAGAACATTTTTCAGTCTTTGTGTTATCCTTTGCAATAATTTAATGAAGCCATTAAGTTCCACAATATGTATTGATATAGTTAGCATATTATAATTCAAAGTGAAAACCCTTATCTGAGCCTTTGTTATTGGGGTGAACTGCTTTCACCTCTCGCCAATTACTACAGTTATGGATTTCATATTTCAGGAGTATGCCACGGAGATGATTTGATTTACTTACTACCAATGCCTTGGTTTCACCTTAACAACCCTGATGACATAGCCATGTCAATCCTGCTAAGAGATATTTGGATCGACTTTGCTGCTAAAGGGTGAGTTCTAGCTTTACCATATATCATGGAGTGGTTAATAATCCAATTTAATATAACGAAAAAAGTAAAATACATTTTTATTTTTTATTTTGGCTAACCATCCTAGCTATTTTCGAGAAAAAATTTATATATGGTCAACAAATTAAATACTATTTACAACTATAATTCTTTTCTTTTTTTTAAATTATCAAAAATATAAAATCTCTAAATTTTATTAATTTTATTTTACCTCGGTCCTCGGTGTCTAACAGTAATTTGGATCCCATTAAAATACTCAATGTTTAAGAATTTGAATAGATTACTATTGTTGATAATCTATTGTTCATAATAAATTATGATTAATGATGTCCCCCGTTATCTTTCAGAATTAAATTTAATTATTTTGATAGACCAAATTTTTTCTTTAAATTTGAGGCATTCCTGCAGCAAATTATTTACCAATTGTAGGATATCATCACTTTGTTTGCATGTAGAAACTTAAACACCTATTCATTATTATGCATTAAATTATATATATTATATTAATTAAATATATAATTAAAGACCTCATTCATAAAATCCATCTCTAGGTCAGCATACTATAATTTCTTTTCTTCTTGAAATCTTGGAGCTTCCGATTCATTTATTACTATCAGATTTTTTCTTCTGCTAGTTGATAATTTTATTTTCCATCTTCACAATCTGCCAGTATTATTTTCTTTGAATGGTACATCCAGTCTTCCAAGATAACATCATTCAATTCAGTTACTCCTATTTGATCTCCAGTTTAGCTTTTTTGTTTTTTTCTTTTCTGATGATGCCTAAATCGGCAAAACGCTGCCAGGTTATTTTTTTTCTTTACCTGCATATTAGACACAAGACTGAGGTTGTATTTTCCCGATTATAATCTAAAGTGATATACATTTATTTATTTTATTTTTTTATAGGACACTTGGTTGGAGCCCAATAAAGGATAATCTACCTAAGCTTTCAGTGCTTGATATCAAAGGACCAGATAACCTAGAACAGACTGCCACTAAGGATTACAGCGAAGATGAATTTTGGATATCTCTTAATATAAAAGAAAATATTATCTCAAATAATAAAGATGAATTTTAAGAAGACATACTTTTATTTAATATAAGGTGTTGTTAAATTAATATAAAATGCTTTTATTCACAATTATAAGAGTGGAACTTCTTAATTAAGCTAATTAGCTGTCATGAATTCATAATAATGCTGAAATGGCTAATTATTAAATCCATTAAACATGCAATTATTTACTAAAACTACATTTAAGTAAAATTTCCTTCACTTTATTAAATATTGTAAACTAATTCATTACATAGTTGAAATCCTTATTAATTGAAATAAATAATGTCAAGAAATCTTTGTATGGTATAGATTTAAAAAAATGTTAATTTATATTGTAAAAATTGTCAATATATGAAATAAAATGTTAATAAATTGAATGAAAATGTTGGCAAAAAGCAATATGAAGGTACTTTCCCAATAATAATAAAAAAATCACCAAGTTTTTGTATATCTTTTTATTTTGTATATCTATCTTCTTTTATATTCTCAAGGTTGTATCCTTGGTCCTATCCTGTATAAACTTATACAGCTGAAATCCCAACCCATCATGACATTGTCATCACCACGTATGCTGATGACACATGTATCCTATCAGTTAATAATGATCCATCAACTGCATCCCAAACCCTCCAATCACATATCACAAACCTTGAAGAATGGTGTAAAAATTGGAGAATTAAAATAAATTCCAATAAATCCAATCAAAGTACCTTTACACTGTGTTGCAAACCTATGACTATTCCTTTAATAGTCCTACAGATCCTTTAACAATTCCCCACTTAACCCAGTTGAACAAATCCATCACCTAGGACTCCACCTGGACAAACGACTCACACGGAATCTTCTTATAAGACTGAAACGACAAGAAACCGCTCGACATTTCCAACTACTCCAGCACTTACTAGACAAACGCTCTAAGCTTTCAATCAATTACAAACGTATCATATATATGTCAATAATAAGACCTATTTGGACTTACGGAATTGAGCTTTGGGGCTCCACTATATCATCAAATTCCTTTCGTATCCAATCCTTACAATCTAAAATATTCAACACTCCTTACTTTTTTACAAATAAAATCATCCATAAAGACCTTAATGTTCCATATGTGTCCGATTTGGCCCAATCCAAATACCTATCCTTCCATAACAAACTCCAGAACCATCCGAACCCTCTCGTTTCAAGACTTGCTTCCTCCTCGATCCTTGATAACTCTACGAGGCGTCTGAAAAGAAGGTAGTCTCATGATCTTCTTGTTTGAATTTATTATTTGAGTGCTATCAGTGGATAGTTTCTCAACAAGCGATTTAATGTTATTTTATTCCTGAGTGCACATTTACTAGTTGTATTTTTTAATAATACAGTTGTAAATATCAATGAATAAATAAATATATAAATCTTCTTTTATATATATATTGTTAGTACAAATTTAGTCATGATTATTTATCAAAGCGATACAAGAAGACCGATTGATGATTCTTAATCTTAGACACGAATATTTGGAAGTAATAACAATATTCCAAAATTTATTACTATTATAGTGGTTATTAAGTTAGTTGCAGACAGAAAGTGAAAGTATACACAAATAAAATTAAAGATTTTAATTTTATTTTGTGCCGTTTTGGTCTAAGTTGCAGGCCATCATCAGATCTCCCAAACCTAATCAGAAAAACACAATAATTTTTAACTAACTATAAATAATAATTCCCAACTAAGAGGTCACTGAATTCAAACATCCATTAGGTTTAGGAGTCCTAACAGAAGGCCTGCAACTGAGGAAGAAACCACGGCACAAAATAAAAGATTTGAATGTACTTTCTGACTGCAATCCCGTAGCTAACTACCCAACCATATGGTTTATAGTGAACAATTTCTTCACTATAACTATTTTAAGTCATATTGATATTTAAAAAAAAAAAACTAAAGGGTGCTGAAGATGATTCACTATTTATTACTAAATATCTTTACTACCTTCCTTTCAGGATGTACTAAAAATAAAAACAATTATCAATTCTATAATAAAAATTCTCATCATATAATGAATTTTAGGATTTTTGAGGCACATTAAGTTATACTGTAGACGAAAATGCCAAAATTAATTTTTCCGAAAATTATGTGCAATAATTTTTTTTCTCAACTAACTGCTACTTACCTTGGTTGTTCATTAATAAGATAGTAATTATGGACCAATCAAAGTAATTTCATTATTAAATAAAATTTATTTTTTTAAATTTCTACAATATTGAAGAAATGTTAAATAAAACATGACAACAATTGTGATAGTTCCACCATGATTTATTAAAAAAGTATAAGATCATACTATTAAAATTTGAAGGAAACGGCTGTTTACATCATATTTTTATAATGTAGTAGAAACTTATGTACTGAGAATTCATTTGACTGTTTATCCCCGAGAATTTATTGCAGCCATGTAACTCAGGGCTGGGCTACACCGATTTAGAAATTTTCAGACCAGCCTTCAATCAGCTCCACTTAAAATGATAAGATGTCTTTTATTCTTGAGAAAAAGGTGTTTAGGACAATGGGGATAGCTTATAAAATAATTAATAAATTAATGAACTTCTATGTACTATATATATTTGTTTAATATTCAACATAAATCTAATCATTCATTACATAACATAAATACATAAAATTAGTTTTATCAAAATCAAATTATGATACACATAAATAAAATAAAATGCAGTCTTTTCAATTCTATTAATACAACATAAAAATTCTAAAAAAAAAATCTTTATATACAAAACTATGGCAAGTTGAATGAAATGAGAGATAAGAAACTTAATCAAATAAGAATAATGAAAGTTTAATTAAAAAATCTGATGGCACATAGTAAACAATTAAAAAATATAAATTCCATAATCATGTGGCAAGGCCAACCGAGGTTAATGTTGGAATGAACAAATATAAAATTTATTAAATATAAAGCATATATAACATACATTGTTCCTCTTCTTTTTTTTTTTAATATTTTTTAATTTATTTTATTATTTTTATTATATCGATGATTAAATGCATAATATAACCCTAAATACATATACTTTGTTAACAATTACAGCATGAAATATACTTTATATATATATTTATAAAAACCCTGTTCTATTCAATAAATTAAGAGATTAAGGTTGGTAAAAATAGTTGTGTAGCAGTTAACATCTCAACCGTACAAATAAAAATGAAAAATAAAATCACAATCATAAGGCTTGAAACACTACAAAAGTCTTAATAAATTAGGAATGTCAAGTTCCCACTAACCCTAAAAACAGGTAGAACAGTAAGTTTTACAAGATTTAAACTTGCCATAAATAATTTCTAATTCATTTATGACATTGAACTACAATCGACGTCCTCTGTAAGATATAAAATCATGACTAACGAAATAAGACGAAAATTAAAATAGTTTGAGTCTGGAAGGGGAAGTACAATATATACATTTAAGAGACTCGTAATTGTTGTAAATAAACAAATTATGAAATTTCAAAATCAAGATGGGATGAATGCACTTAAAAAACAACATAACATTAAACAATTCTATCACCAATAGTGATTAAAATAAATTCAAAAGGATAAAAGAAAAACAAAAGAATAAAATTTTCATGAGGCACATATGAAAATAATTTTCCTATTTTCTTTTAATATTTATTTAAATAAAATAAATTAGTCCATCCCTGACCTAGACATCTAAAAGTTACCATCTATCAAATTGAACTCATGATTCTACTAAAAGAAATTTCTTCCCTCCCAGTATCATTCTCAAAAGACCTTCAAAACGAAAACATAAAACATCAATAACACAAACAGATAAAATATCCATTTGATGGATTCTTAGTTTTAATTATAAACACATGATACTTTTTTACACAATTAAGAAAAATAAAGAAAAAAGAAACTGTGGAGATATAAAAAAAAAAAAAAAAAAAAAAAAAAAAAAAAAAAAAAAAAAAATGGTTGCACGTTTTTGAATGTACTAACCAGCAAATAGAAAACCGTTTCAAGAAGTATTTCATTTTAATGATTCCATTAAAACAATGACGAACCCAATTCATTTGTATAGAATTAATTAAGGTCTCAAATGGAAAAATTATATATATATATATATTTACATTCTAATTATAATGCTGCCTGGAAAATGTGGTCCCACAAATCCTATGGGCCGTAATTGGTAAACAAAGTTTAACTAAATTTATAAAAAAAGGCTTCTTGAAATGTACAACATTTAAATTGTTGTAGATAGCCGACGTTATATAAAATACAAAAAATAACTCAACAAAGTTTAATATAATATACTCTTCAGTTTTTTTTTATATTAACTCACTATTACTAAATAAAACATTCAATCATTCATCATCATTCCACACAGAGGAATGGGAAATCAACTGCCTATAGCACATAGTAACTTTCGATTCAAAGTATTACTTTAGAGAAATTCTTAAATCAATTTTGTTTTTCTAAAATTAAAAAAACAAAATACAATCATCTCTTGAATATTTCAAGAAGCAGTATTTAACTTAATGGGCCATTTTGGTGAATATGAGGCTGGTACCACATTTTGCTACAACAGTACAACTGACGTTGCAGTTACTACACTGAAGTAACGAACAAAGTTCTTATATACACAACTATAACGTTCAGAGGTCTGTGTCATACCAGGCAGCGACTTGGCTGTTATCTTGAGGTGGATCTGGCAAGGTCCCGAAATCAAGGTCTTCGGGTACCAAGTCCATCGGGGAATCCAGTTCTAGGCCTTCCATCGAGTCTATTGGTATCTGGTCATAACCTTCATTGAGAAAAAGAATATTTTAATTAATTAAAGCATTAAAAATTAGGTTATAAGAAATGAACATACAAAATATTAAACATTTAGATTAAATACAATGAATACCTATATCGCCACAAGTTGTGTTTATATCATCATTTATTAAGATGATAAGTTTAGAAGTGATATTGCTCTGCTGGCTGTGAATCATTAAAACTAAGTTAAATTCCTAAGAACATGTAAAGATTTAGTTTCAGGACAAAGTGGACAGTAAAGTTTCTTTATTGATCATAGATCCGCTATCCTACAGCAACCAAAGCGTCTAATGTTTGTTTTAAATAAAAATGTCTTTATTAAGAAAAGATACAGCCTAAGCACAGAATATTGAATTTCCAAAAAATCAAAAAAAATTATATAGCTTTTTTATAACCTTGAATTTAGAAAAAAAGATTCTTTTACTTAAATCAAATACAATTTCTATACATCTAACAAAACATATAGGTTATTTTTACAAATATATAAGTTATTTAAAAGAATTTGCTATAATCAAGTAAGAAAAAAATTGAATGAAGAAGAAATTGCCAAATACACAAGTGATCTTCCGAGAATCTCTTTTCTAATGTAAAATTAAATTTTCAATTTAAATTCAGTTCAAATTTGCCTTTCTTGCTATAAACATAGCTCCTAAATTAGAATCAATAAAACCTAGATTGCTCAAAGTCAGTGGGTCACTGACTAACTACTGACTATTTCTAACAAATTTTTTGTGTTGTGGTTTAACATTGAAAAATATTGAACACATACTCTGGCCTTTGTTTAATGGGCTTTAGGAGCCGAGATAATATGATAAATAATTTTTGTAGTTTTTAATGAAGAAAAAAAACACACTGAAGAGATTTTAACGAAGTTAGGCTAATGACAATTCAAAAAAACCTCTAGTCGCTTCAAGTAGGTAACATTTTAAAATTATAAGAAGTTCATGATTATTTTAAAATACAAGTTCTGAAAGAAATAAGAATAATGTTTATAGCCTTACAATTACCCATACCTTTTGAATTATAATTTTTATTTTCCCACCACAACTAGATAACATAAGTATTATAATCAGATAAAATTTTCTATGAGTCTTCTAGAGTCCAAACAATGTATTTTTAGCTATTTGCCTGTCCGTAAATATTTTTTTATATTTAATTTTTTTTTTGTTTTGAAGGGTTTCGACCACTAATTCCTATGAACCAAATCAGGAGCACTATGAGGAAAAAAACCTGTATTTCCATAGACTGTAGTGCCAAAATGGTTTTAATGATTTTTATGTAACTGGCCTTCTTATAGCCCTTCTAATTTTCATATATGTATGTTCATATATGTATAATATATATATATATATATATATATATATATATATATATATATATATATATATATATATATATATATACACATATGTATTATGTATTATATGTATGTTCATTTTCATATATGTATATTCCCCTGAGAAAAAGTAGAAAAAAATTATGAAGAAATAAATTTAATTTGGACATAATTTAAAAAGCATTCATCATGATTTTGAAAGGAAAAAAAATCTCTACAAAACAAAAAAAATCTTGAAATCGGAGTAGTATTAGCAGTGATACACATATTTGATTTTTTTAAACATGTTTTATTACTTTCCTAGTGTTGATGAACAAATTCATGTACTTATGTACTATTGGAAATACATGTTTTCTTTCTTTCTGATGATAACATTAAAGTGTACTTTTACCATACTTTGAGGAAATAAAAAAATTGAAACGATTATCAATATACTTTGTCTTATATTTCAAATTCAAATCGACCTAGTGCTAGAAAGATCCACTTTCTGTCATTAGTAATAATGTAAGGTCCTTTTGGTCAAATAAAAAATTGAAGCTGACTGGTTGAGTTTCCTGAGAGCCATAAAACATTTTTCTGACTGTGGAAAAAAATTGCATATGATACTTATTTAACCCTTAAAAATAATTGTAATTATTTTTAGTATGGCAAGGACAAAAAATTGATATCTATAGGATTTTTTTTTATTAAATTCATTAATATAAAAGATTTTTTAAATATAAAACTTAATTACTTAGTTACCTCATAACATCTCAAAACAACAAAAAAACAAAAAAATCAAAGATGTTATCAATAAGTTAAAAAAAAAAAAATACTTTCATATACAATCCAGAAATGCTTAAATAAACAAACATAATATAAAAGGAATGAAAAATCATTTTAAATATCAATCAATCTGTTAATCCAATTGGTTGGGTCTCCACTACTGTAAACTTAATAATCTACTTAGACAGCTATTGAGTTGGTGGATGAGAGACTTAACTGAACACTCTTCTGAACTATAACATATTGGCTTAATATTAAAGCAGAATAAACATTTATTGTGTGCACTGTATTAACAATATCTTGCAATAAAAATAATTATTTTTTTATTTTATGAATTTTAAATAATTAATTTTTCATTCCTTTTCGTCCAAATCAAATCAGTCACAGTACAGAAAAAGGAAGGATAACTAAATATAGAGAAGCAAAGAACGATAAATTTGAAGAAAAACATCGTCTCCTCTAAGAGTGATTTACTTTCTATCCCTCCTAAATTTTAATGGGTCATGAAATCGTAATTTTGGTGAAGTTAAATACAAAGCTTTTAACAGATTGAAGAGCTAATTCAAAATAAAAATTTCTGTAATCAACCCTTCAAATGGATAGTTACATCCTTATGGATCCTATAAATAAAAAAACAATGTTATATATATACATATACACAGTGTCCCGTAAGTAGAGGGAAATCTTTAAAAGGTTGATAGTAAACATGAAGGTCTACAAAAAATTTCATTTAAAATTGTCCAACAGAAAAAAAAATTAGGAAATTTAAGATTTGTGTTTTTTTACGTTTTTTGTTGAATAGGAAGCGATAATTTAAAAAATATTTGCTTTAAGTGATTAAACATTACTCCATTGATAAACTGGACAAAATTTACTTTAAATTAAAGTAGAGTTTGTCATCGTTAAAACTATTTAGAGGACAAACACAGCAAAGTTCCATTTAAAAAATAGTCACAAATAATTTGTGATTTTTTTTTATAACCCTTTAACAGCAATTCTAAAAAATCTTCCTAGTTTAATAAGCTTTAAGTTCACATTAATTAAGTTGAGGTGTATTAGAAAAAATTTTGAGATTCACCTCAAGTTGTGTAAAGAAATTATGTAATAAAAACGCGATTACAGCAAAAATAACTGCCATCAACTGTTGCAAAGCATTTATTTCTTGTTTTTTCATGATATGGGATGTATTGTAATAAACATAATCATCTAAAAACATATTTTATTTATAAAAAGAAAATTAAAAATAATGATTTGCAAATATTTTTCACATTAAGTGGTTACGGCATTGTGTTTTACTTCCAGATTTCTGTCATGCGAATTAATGCATATTTATAAGTGACAAATTTATTATTTCCAGCCCTAATATTTGAGTTTTCATGAAAATAATTGAAGCGATCAGTAGTTTTGTTTAAATTTTAAACATAAATTTTAGTAAGAAACATTAAATTTATTACTGATAAATACATATTAATTTCTATGATGGAAACCTGAGAGAAAAACACAAGTTTTATAACCACTTTACGTGAAATTTTTTCTTAAAAAATCAATCTTTTTAAATTTGTTATATTTATAAATAAAATGTGTTTTTAGGAAATTATGTTTATTACAATACATCCCACATTATGAAAAAACAAGAAATAAATGCTTTGCAACAGTTGATGGCAGTTATTTTTGCTGTAATCGCGTTTTTACTACATAATTTCTTTACACAACTTGAGGTGAATCTCAAAATTTTTCCTAATACACCTCAACTTAATTAATGTGAACTTAAAGCTTATTAAACTAGGAAGATTTTTTAGAATTGCTGTTAAAGGGTTATAAAAAAAAATCACAAATTATTTGTGACTATTTTTTTGCAATGGTTAATTCTAGTCATTTTTGCTGCAAACACGGGTTTTGTAGGTGTCAGGGTAGAAAATCATATCATTACACAACCTGAGGTGAATCTCAAAATGTTCCCTAATAAATCTTAACTTAATTGATATAGACTCCAAGGTTATTAAACGAGGAAGTTTTCTCAGAAGTGGGCTAAATATAGTACAGTTGAAGAGTGATAAAAAAAAAAAAAATCACAATTAATTAGTGACTTTTTTTTAAACGGAACTTAGTTGTGTTTGTGCGCTTAATAGATCTCATTAAATGGTTTTAACAATCACAAACTCTCCTTTTGTTTGAAATAAATTTTGTATAGTTTACTGTGGAGCAATGTTTAATTACTTAAATCAAATATTTTTTTTAGTTATTGGTTCCTATTCAACAAAAAACACGACACTTAAAAAAACACAAATCTTAAATTTCCTACTTTTCTACTTGAAATTGGGCAATTGTTTATATGAACTATTTTTATAGATCTTGATGTCTACTATCAACCTTTTAAATATATTCTCTCTACTTACGGGACACTCTGTTTATAATCAGATTTATATCCATTGGTAATAAATCCTTATCACATTAAGCAGAGGTTAAGAATTCCTAACTAAAGTTTCTTAAAATATAACACACCATTGCCAATACTAATCCATGCTGTGAACTTTTATACTACCGAAAAGGTTGAAATAATACGCAAGCACAAGACAGAAACTAAAAAATTAACCGTGCAATAATTATTATGGAAATAATATGTTCAAAAGTTGTTGATTAATTTACCTGTTACATGAAGGAACAGCAAAAGTCTTGCAGAAACATGCTAAGAAGAGCTTTGAAGTTTTCACTGTTAATAAATTTTTGTCTCAAGGTATATATAATAGCCACAGCCAATTATTATATAAGTTTGTTTAGCTAATGGGACCCTCCATTGGAAGAGTATATAATCAAATCATTCACAGTTAAAAGCCTTCTAAAATAAATTAGTCAGAAATAATTAATTAAGCCAATTACAGATAAATTATCAAAATCAGGCTGCTCTCATAAAAATATCATTATAGGTTACTGTTAATTGAAAGTAAATGAAATATAAGAGGCTTAGTGTGGATGAGCATGGAATGACTGCCAAAGACTCCAGAAGATCGTATTTAAAATAATAAAGGTCAGAAACATGATCCACTTAACCACATGAGGTCAACTGAATGACTTCATGAATGAGGGGGAGGGAGGAAGGAGAGGTAGAATGGGTTGCTTTAAGCAACTGAAATTAAGATAATTATGTACTATACATCAATAATCATGGTGACACCTATTTTGTAATATATCAAGAGAGTATTAAACCTATTATATAATTATAAACCTATTATGCGTATAACAGATTTTTTTTGTGGACAAAGTTAGAATTTAAAGTGGTATTTTTTTGCACAATTGATATTTAAGGTTTTTTTTTTTTTTTTTCCATAATTTTCCTCAGATACTGAATTCAAAGAAAAAATTTCATCAAATTTAAAGAAAAATATTGAAGTGAAACAATATAACAAAAAATTGTGAGCAAACAGAGCAAATAGACTGAGTGTAAAATACGAGTTGCACTGCAACCAGATAAACCATAGATTGCCAGTTCAAATCCTGGTGCTGGTAGGACTTGACTTACAACTCTGACAAAATTTCGCTGCCCTCTCCCCTGGCCTAGGAAAAATCCTGAATAGCCTAACAGGCGAGGAAGAGGGGGGGGGGAATTATGTTGAAGAACACAAAACATTCGGCGATATATTGATGTTTAAGACTAAGAATAATTTCAAAAAAATTAAAATAAATAAACTGAATCTTTAAAAATTGCCCCTCTATACTATTTAAATTTTCCCATTGTAATGAAAAATATAAAATATTATCACGTTTGTTATATGTATCTAATTACCTAAACTATTATTTAATTAATTAATGAGGCAGTAGTTTATTAATAAATTTTCTATAAAATATATATTTACATGTAAAATAAAAATTGTATAAAATTCATACAATTTAATTTTTCACTGAAAATGTATATGTTATTATTTTTCTTTTTGGTCTCTGGTTAATCCGATTGTTTAGATGTTCTTATCTACCCACTGGTCCCATCTTGGTTGAATTAGCTAGTTTCAACAGAACATTTCATTGGAGAACTGAAGATGTGTATAAAAATAAATCATTAAAACAAACCCAAGAACTCTAAAATAATATTAAAAAAATATCAGACGAGTGAAACGAAACATCAGAGATTATCCATTGGTAGTAATTACTACTCAGACATCATAAATGCAATTGGAGGATGAGTATAACTGACTTCAGATTATAAAATTAGTTTAAAGTATAAATATTATGTGTTAGCAGAGTATTATCCCAACTGTTAATCAATTTTAGCTTAACATGCATTTGATGATTTACCTTGATATGTTCGGCCACCATGACTAGTAGGAGTCCCGTAATCATAGTTGTCACCACAACACTCTCTTAGATACAACTAGCACAAATAATAAATAAATACAAATAAAATGAAAATAATTAATTAAAATAAAATAAAACTATTCTCTGAAATTAAAAAAAAATAAAAATTTAATTGGGATTTTATAAACGTATAAGAGTAAGATTTTATGAGGAATAATGATTTTTTGTAATTCCCAGAATGAATTTTTTTGCTTTTATGAATGAATCAAATAAAAAATGTTTTTTTAAAAATGAAAACTCGAGTTTAATTGTGCCATATCCGAACGGGGGTGAATAGGTTTCATACAAGGGTATAAATGGTGGTTTATAATAACATAAAATAAAGAATAAAGCTGCATGAAACACATGGACAGGATTCCATAATACTCGATTTTAATTGGTAAATTTTATTTCTATAATACTCGATTTTAATTGGTAAATTTTATTTCTAACGAGAATCATCCATCTTGTAAATTTGAGATAACTCTTTACTACTAAAGTGAGAAAAAGAGTATCAAGGGCAAGATATGGTGCAAAACCTATGACAGATTTACCAAGCCGTCTTCTTGAAGCCCAATGAAAAAATCATTAAGCCAAGTGAAGGAATAATTCCACCATACAAAAATACATATCTTTTGTAGCATCTTGAAAAATCTCGGTTTCATATTTTTTTATTTATAATAATGTATAACAGGATTGATTAATTAAATACATAGAGCTTTTTGAGATGAATAAAAAAATTGAAATGTTATATAAATGTGTTCAGTTAAAAAATGGAATATGTTTGATTAATTTGACTTACTAGCTGAATCTTTATTTTTTAAATATTAATCTGAGCAGGAAAATAAAAAAAATTGAAAGGTAATATCACAACAATAGTTAAAACCAGCAAACTTAAAATAAAAGCTCTATAAAGCTTTTAAAAAAATCTTGAATGGCACACCATTCATATTTAAGTTGTAGGCAAAAACAATGAAATTAAGAAAAAATTTCATTTGACTGAAAAACTCTATTGACTACTTAAAAATGTTCAAGCTTTGTAAAGAATACTTTAAATTATAAAAAAAAAAAACATGCTTATACTATAACATCTATAAATTAAAATGAACTAACATTATTCGTACCAAACTAAAATTAGGAAACACTGAAAAATGGTGGACATGCATTCAACATAATAAATGATCACTAAAAATAACGTACTTGTAGATCTGGAGCCATGCTCAAGTCACCGCCATTCCACATGTTTTGATCCTCTCTAAACAAGGAATTAGTCAATTCCATTGACAACCGCTTTTTATAGTCTTGAGGCTTGTCTTCTGACATTCTGAACAACACTGCAGCTGCATATGTTGCTGCAAATTTATTTTTAAATTACTGATTATTATTATTTATAATAATAAATATACATATATATATATAAACAAATCAAATAATATACTAATGGCTTACAAAATAAATTTAAATATCATTCTCATTCTTCCTTAAATCTTCAAATTTAATAAAATAATATCAGCTAAGATAACGTATCAAAATATCACTAACCAACTCCTTCGTTGCGGGAGTGGAGCAGCTCAGTCAGTGGTGCTGTTGCACCCTCTTGCTCTATCAGTTCGGCGCCTTCCTTGTCCTGGGCCAGTTCACAGAGTACACCAGCAGCTACCCGCTGTATGTTCTCGATCTCATTGAAGAGAAGCTGGACAAAGATCGGTATGACCAGTTGACCCCTTATGATAGCTCTGTTATGGCTCTCTCTGGCTAATATGTGAAGAGCTCCAACGGTACCCTCAACTATTTCCTCCATTCTAACTCCATCAGCGTATATACCACCAGACTGGGTTCCACCACTTGTGACACTTGTTCGCTATAAAAACCAAATGATTGATGTATTAAAATAACAGAGGTCCAGTTATGAGAAAAATTGTTTTTGTTTTCCAATATTACATGAATATAAATTAATAATGATATTTATTCTGAGAGTATTAACAGATAAAAAAATCAACTGCAGGAAAATAAGGCCATATTATTATTAATACTAATGCAGGTATATAGATAAATTTCAGCAGAGAGAAAAGTAACTACTTTGAAGAAGCAAGATTTGAGTCCATAAGTGACAAAGAATAAATACTTATATACAATTATTTCTAAAAGTAATGTAGTCAAAGAGGACATGAGGATTTATAATATATGAGGACAACCCATGAAAGATGAACACTAAACACAAATTTATGAAACTAAATCAAACGCCTAATAAACACGACTTCAAAGTATGTTTTCATCAATAAGATAGGTAAGTTTCAGTAATAAGAATGGTGTACCATGATGACCATAAATCTTAGATTAGTTATCTGATAGGCGCCATTAAGTTAAATTGTGGAACATTTTTATTTTAACTACACCATTTACGATCAAACCCCTAGTATTTTCATGTTCTCTGAAGGTATCCTAGGCTTTGGGAGTGGGGCATAGTGAGACCATTTTTGAACATGTCGCTCAGCATTAAATAATAATAATAATAATAATAATAATAATAATAAGGCTTAGCGAACCCGAAGGTTCGATGCCGACACCACCAATCGCTTGTTACACACCTCCCTCCACCGCTCGCTGTCCAAACCCAGTCCCTTCAGATCGGCTTTAATGCAATCTTCCCACCTTCGCTTCGGTCTACCCCTCGGACGCTTACCATTCGGCACCGCACATATTAACCTTTTAGGAATTCTCTCGTTACTAAGCCCAACAACTTTACAAGCCCATTTGATTCGCCGCGATGAAATTACCTCAATTATATTACCCGGATACAGCTCACGCAATTCGGCGTTGTGTAACCATCTGAACTCTCCGGTTAACTCATCCTTCTTCGGTCCGAATATTCTACGCAATACTTTATTTTCAAAAACCTTAAGACGCTGCTCATCCCTTAATGTAAGCGGCCAAGTTTCGCATCCATAAAGAACTGTAGGCAAGATAATTGTTTTATAGATTCTAATTTTTAAGTTTCGGGACAAGAGGCGCGAACTAAGTAGTTTTGTCACAGAAAAATAACAAGCATTCCCCGCCTTCAGTCTAATCTTAATCTCTTCTTCAATTTCGTTTTTTCTAGTTATCGTAGAACCTAGATACCTAAATTTATCTACCTGTTCAAACATATTACCATCTATATCGATATCACCAGTAGTATCGCCATTTTTGCAGCTAACCATATATTTTGTTTTATCCACGTTTATTTCGAGTCCTAGTTCTTTACTGGCTTTCATTAACGTTGTCGTATTTAGTTTTATAGTTTCAACGTCTTCGCTTAACAGTACCAGATCATCAGCATAGCCCAGCACGGATGTTGTCCCACCCAGATCCAACCCTTTCTCGGTTCGCATTACCTCCCTAATGGCATGTTCTAATGCCAAATTGAACAGGGCAGGCGAAAGAGAATCGCCCTGTTTTAAGCCCGAACGAACCTCAAATTTTTCGGACAAATTATTACCGATTCTAACTTTATTGAGTGTCTCCGTCAAGCACATCCTGACTAGATTTACTAGTTTTTTTGGAATCCCCTGCTCGATTAGAATATTATACAGTTTCTGGCGGTCAATAGAATTGTAAGCCTTTTTAAAATCTATATACAGCTGGTGAACAATACCGTTATACTCCAATTTTTTCTCTAATATTTGCCGTAAAGAAAATATTTGATCAATTGTCGAACGATTCCGTCTAAATCCGCATTGGTAGTCTCCGATAATTTCCTCGGCGTATTCCGTGATTCGACTGGTTAAGATAAAAGTGAATATTTTATAACATACCGGAAGGAGTGAAATTCCTCGATAGTTATTACAATCCGTCCTCGGACCCTTTTTGTGAATCGGAATAAGAATAGATTCTTTCCATCGCTCAGCATTAAAAGTTAAAAAAAAAAAAAAAAAAAAAAAAAAAATGCAATTTTTAGTTTAACAATACTGTACTGGTACTGTTGGGGGAAACTAGTATAGCAAGTGGGCCTATGTTTTCGTTTTTGACAACTCCTGACGGCTACCTTGAAGATGCCGCCGTATACTTACCAGAGTGGGAATGTCTATAGACGGGTGTGGCCGAACGGGCTAATGCATGTGCACAGCACTCGCTTTTATGAACATCATGAAAAAACAACTAAAACTGAACTCATAAATGATACATACCCTTTGAGTATCCTGGAATGCACGCATGAGGAGCCTGATGAGGTGGTGTATAGCGCCATGATCCCTAAGAGGTGCGTGATTGGCCTGGCAGAGAGCAAGGTTCCTTATCAGCCCAATGACAGCTTTCACTAAAGGCCAACGTGACGGTGGGTGTAGGAGCTTCACAATAACCTGCAGGCCATAGTTCAGTCGAACAGCATTTTGGGCCATTTCGCTGTCAGGGTGTCTAGATGTCAAATGTCTTAGCGCACAGACCTATAGAAACCATAAGAACAAAATCAATTTAAACTTTAAAAAATTCTAGAATATTGTTCATTACCTGATGAAAAGAGGATCCTAACGAAGAAATCATGTATATAGACAAAGGCAAAACATTTCAGTCCCTTTTACTCCTCTGTTTTTGAACTGATTTTCTGTTTTTCTTTAGGAGCTGTTGACGAGCTTTAATGTTATCAATAAAAAAATTTGGAAACAATGCATAAAATAAAAATGTAAATGTTTGTTTGTTTGTTCAGGAAAATGAAATTATATTGGACTGCAAGAGTACGCATACATAGTAGATCATGCAGGCATATGGAAAAAAAAACTAGCTTGAACAGATAAAATTTCATTTAAATTTTTTTTTTCTTTCTATAAGTGAAATTTTCCTAGATTTGAAGTTTTTGGAACCAAAATATTCTAATCAACAAAAAACTTAATAGTAGATATTTCTAGATAAAGATTGTATTCATAAATAGATCTTACAGCTGGTTCCGTGATCTCTTCCCTGTCTCCAGCAGTCACAATAGTCCTGACAAGAGCATCTACGCCACCAACTTGACAAACAGTCACTTTGTTTCTCTGGTTGTTGCAAGTCAGATTGGATAGAATTCCAGCAGCACAAGTTACCATGTTGACATCTGCAGACCCTAACAACTGAACGAGGGATTGCAAGAGACCCTCGAGACCATCTACTTTGGTTCCTGCATCAGAGAGATTCCTTAAAGTCCATAAGCAATTCTGCACCAATCGTTGTGAAGGGTGACCCAAATGCATAGCCAATGCTTGCATTCCTCCAGCTTCAACAATAGCAGGCTTATTGCTCGAACAGACAGATAAAACTAGAAAAAAAAAAAATTCTTTTTAAGAACACAATAAATTCAAAATATATTAATATTGTGAATGTATGCTATCATTACAGATTAATAGGGAGACCCATTACAAATAAAGGATGTAATAAGAAGGAAGCTAGGAATAAGATTTGTAAATAATGTTTCTAAGAAATCTTTAATAAGATCCTAGGTCCGAAAAGAATTAACAGAAAATGGCATGAGGAGGCAGTATCTAGTGATTCTTTTTTTTTATACTATGGAGCCAATAAATGAGATGGTCTTTAAAGACCTTGTATTAATAGTCATGTAAGAAAGCACAAAGATTATTTTTAATTATCCGCTCGCTCAATACCAGATCTCAACCTATAGATTTATATATCCCCTCCCATAAAACCACTTCCTTCAGTAAATCCTTCGTCATTCGTGCTACCTCCTTATGGAACTCCTTACCATCTCCATACGTCAAACCACGTCCATAAACTCCTTCAAACAATTCCTATTCCACCACCTACTACAAATTCTAACTTCCGCAAGCTTGTAAAAATTTCTGGGTTATATAATTACGTTGGCCACCAGCAGTTAATTGATAGAAGCCATTTGATTTTTATTTATTAATTTTTTTTTATATCTCAGTATTTTATTGTATATATCTGTGTTTATCGTTATTATGTTATGTAGATATTTTCCTTGGTACTTTTTAAAAAAAATTTTTTATATATGTTTGTATTTTTCTTAGTATCTTTGTGTGTGTGTATATATATAAATATAAGTGCTTACAATTTCCTAGGTATTTTTTGTATATATTTGTATAATACTTACATGCCAGACTAAGGTACATATTTTGTAAACTCTACTATTATTTTAAGGACACTTCAGTCCCAGAATAAAATTATTTTTCATTTTATTTCAAAGATTGGGTTCAGTGACAACTGGTTCATAAGGCTACGATGGTATTTAGATTTTCAATAAGCATTAAGAATTGATTTGAATCTGGGACTGATTACATACTAACCTTACATCTGAACATGAATGCTGTAGAGGTTCCTGTAGGCACATTACATTGTTTATAACATACGAGGTCTGACAAAACTAGGAATGGTTCCAAGCTTAATAATGGCTCCACAGTTCTACTTCTTTTGCTCAGGTACCTTAAATAGTTTGTATATAATGGTGAGCGTCTTCACCATTAACATTCTGCAAAGTTTTCTTGCAAATGAATCTCTTAAAGGACATTCGTACCAAGGATAAGAATTCGTATGAGCAAAATATGGTTTCTCGAAAGGTTATGCAATACAGATGGTTTATATTTATCCAGTAGTTAATTTATTTTAAACACAAACTACCTCTAACAATCCACAAAACCAATTCCTTGTTATAGCCACAAATAAAGTTCTGAATATAAAACAATGGCAATACAGTTTGAGGTTGAATAACTGTTTTGATATAATGACATAGGTGCAAACCATCAACTTAAGAACAAATCAATGACAGAATGAACAGAAAATAACGAGAACCCAATAAAATAACAATGATAAAATAGCAAGGAGTATCCAAGTTTTCAAAGTAATATTACAATTATGGGTTAACCTTAATAACATATCATAATATCTGAAATAACAATCTGGTACCATTAAAATTATTTGCTTTAGTATAACTGGGGACATAGGTCAGTATTTGGGAGTAAAACAAACATTTTCCTACAATTGTACAGATGAATTTTAGAAAAATTATTAATCTTAAAAGTTTATATAAAATTAAATTAAATAAAAGCAAACAATTATTTTCTAGAAATTTACAAATTCCTGACTAATGCACAAATTTATTTCAAGAAGAAAGGGATGTGAACTAGACAATAAAGTCTAAGATTATTATTTTAAAATTTCAGCTGTTTCTTTAGTATAACAATAAAAATTATAATAATTTTTAGTTGAATAAAAACATTGGAATTTTATTATTTAACTAGTTTTACCTTTTAGAACACGGGACGTTGTCCAAAGCAACTTTTCATAGTCGTAACTCCTCATAATTCTGACGAGCTCAATGGGCCCTTGAGAAGCAAGGATGATCAGTTTGCTCTCTTGGTTTCCATAAGCAAGGATCTGAAGACAATCTGTAACAATTGCTAGAAACTTGACATTGTTCCTCTGAAGGAGTGCGACCATTTTCTGTAAACCACCAGCAAGACGAACGGCCATTTTACTCCCTTCTTGGTGGAGTAACAGATTGTGGAGTGTTGTTATAGCATAGAACAACACTGATTCAACTGGAGAGCTGAAAAAGGCCAAAAAAGAATAAGACAAAACAATATTTTATTTTTGGGAAAAACACTGATATTAATACAACTGATACCAACCTTAAAAGCTTCACTAGCGCAGGGATGCCACCACTTTTGAAAATAGCCAAGAGACCCTGCCTGTGATGAGACAAATTGTGTAATGTCCCTACAGCTCCTTTAGTAGTTTCCAGGTCATTACTGTTTGAAATAGCTCTCACTAAGGCAATGACCATCTAAAAACGAAAACATTAATTATGATAGGAATCACTAATTTAAAAATATTTTTTTAAAGTGCAAATCTCGATTCAAACTGATATTTTATGATAGGCATATTTCATTTAAGCCATTCAGGCATATTCAAGAAACAAATAAATAATAAACAGGAGTCAAGGAAACTAAAAATAGGCTCAGTTAATTTTTAGGGTTGAACTATAACGATCATTCAAGGCTTAAAGACAAATTTTGCTTATACTAACATCAATTAAATGTTTTCAGTAAAATATATATATATATATATAAATACACTACATTATATTAAATCAAGATAACTCTGAATTAACTAATACATTTTCCTAAAGTTTCATTGAAAATTCAGTATATTACGGTAACAAAGGACAAAAAAAGCTCATACAATAAACAAAGGATTGTTTAAATTGTAAGATTAGTAAGAGATGATTTGACATGAAATATTCACAGTATAATATGAAAAATTCTAAAATATTTGAATCAGTCTTACATCTTTGAAATAGGTCATCAAAAATGAAAAATACCAATCATGATTTTAAGAACAATTGTAAGTCAGTGAGTATTAGGAATATAAATACCTGAGAGTTATTCATAATAGCATGTCTTGAAGCTTCTTTCTTTGACAATTGGTGGACCATCATTGCAGCCTGTGAAACAACTACCTGGTCCTCATCATTCATTAGCTTCACCAATTCAGGAATAGCTCGAGTGGCCAGGTCAGCATCGTCCTAAAAATAAAATAAAAATTAGTTCCAACATTTTAAAGAAAAACATGAAGGCTGGTAAACAAAGAGGTTGTTATTGAGACTTTGAAGAAAAAAGAGAGCGCTACGTCATGATGTTACTATTTTACATATCGGCTTACGATACTGTCTGGTGGCCACGTGTTCTACAGCAGTTACATAGATATGATACCCCCAGCAACCTATATGCTCTTCTGAGACGCTATCTACAGGGTAGATATGTGAGGATTAGAGGTAGTTTTTACAAGATTGAGTGAACTGTCCAGAGAGGATGCCCTCAGGGCTCTGCTCTGTGGATCTTAGTTTTCGGGGAGCTTTTGGCGGTATTAGAAGAGCAGCGGTTCCCAGTAATGGCATATGTTGAAGACTTGGCCGCTTTTGTGGCATCCGATAGCAGAGCAGAGGTCATACTGGATAGGTTCCTGTGCTGGATTCATACTGTGCTTACTTGATAGGTTCCTTGTGTGCGAGTAGGAGAATGAGGATGGCTGCTGGCAAAACCCAAACACGACTGAGAGAAAACATCTAACCGCCTTGGAGATACAAGGAGAAACGATTAGTCCAAGTAAGGTGGTAACCTACCTTAGGGTAAGACTTGGGAGAAAGTTTAATATAATGCCTCACTAGGACTACTTAGAAAACAGAGTGACAGTCACCCTAATGGTCTCAGTCGTTTTGGGCTCTCTGGGGTCTTAGATATCCAGAGACCAAGGCTATCTACAAAGGAGAGGTGCTGGTTATATTAAGGTATGCATCCCCCTCATGGTACCTGAACCTCTCCAAGCAAAAGAAGATCAAGTTAGCATCTATCCAGTACAGCTCTCCTGTAGGTCACCAGAGCATATAAGAAGCAGTGCAGTCTCACGAAGCAGTACAGATCTTAGCAGGGAAGATACCTCTCGATCTCCTCCTGCAAAAATACTTGATCAAAATGCCTGTAGGAGAGAAGGCTTGGCAGGGATTCCGGAGGAACTTTGAGTGAGGATTGAGGAACGGCCCATTAGATGGAATATTAAGAGAAGCTATCGTCGAAGAGTGGAACATGCGGTGGATCACTACCACTAAGGGGACTACCTTAAGGAAGTATTTTCCCATCATACAGTCTCGACTAGCAGCCAGATGGATCAAACCAGACTATTGGGTCTCTCAATTTCTCACTGGACATGGTGGTTTTCCTAAATGCTGTCTAATTAATTACATTACTAAATAAGTGATAATCATTAATCAATCACCTAACCTGATTTTTAATTACCTAATAATTAACAAACAAAATCTGGAATAAAATTATTCTAAAAATAAAATTATTAAAACCAATCTTTAACCAATTAACCAAAAAGTGACCAATATCTTTAACTTATAATATTTTAGTCATGTCCTTAAATGTTAATCATAAGCATTACAGAAACTAGATTCCCCTTTCATATAAGATTCTAATTTCACAAAATATTTAAAAGACAGAAAACTTAAAATAAATAGTTTTCACATCAGTTGAAGAAAATGGAAGAAAGACTCATCATATCTTTATTTTTCATAAATAAAAAGGGAAAATTAGTAAATAAACAAGTTAAACTTTAAGAAAATTCCAGTTCCACACATGTTATAAATTATTCATATCCCCAATTTCTTTGTAGTAATACAAGGTATATCCCACTACCAATATACCATGAAAGATTCATGAAAATACATAAATGAACCCTGGTGATTTCGGCTGACAGCTTTCAATAACATATTGTGAAATAGATAAGGATACTTTCTTGACTCAGATATTTCAATAACATTTCATAATCTTTTGTTAAGCATGATTTTAGATAATTAACTGATGAATTTACTTTACATAAGATCAAAATTCCATAAAAAATAATCCAATACAATAACTTGATTTTTAAAAATGACTTAACAGAAAATGATCATAGAATTAGTATTATAATATTACTCATACCTGATAATTTATGAGATTAACCACAGCATGTTTGAGCATCTGGCTTGGTTCAGTGAGGCGCTGAACAGCGGTTGCTTGGCTTGTGTCAAATTGTGTCGCAGGGATTTCAATCCCTTCTTCCAAAGTTTCTGGAAACATGGCTGCTCTAACTCTCTGAGATCTAGTCTGAGCCAACTGTTGGTTCATTTCTGTAATGAAAATTTTTGATGTCAATTAAATAAGGTTAGGAATAGAAAAAAGCCAAATATATAGCACCTTTGTACATTTACTTATGGTAGAAAGAAAATAGAGTTTGCTATATTTGAGGCAAAGCTATTTAGGAAAAATTCTGTTATCAGTTTTTACCCATCTCCTAATTAGATGCAAACACAATCTAATAACTATCAAGTTGAAAATTAAATTATTTTCAATAATTTATATAAGCACAATGTAAAATATTGAAAATAGTAAAATATTTTAATAGATATTTTTTTCATTTATTTTCAAAACTATTATCATTTCTGAACTCACCGTCCACTTGTTCTTGGGTGAAACCCTGAAATCCTTGATCAAGGTCTAACATGAGTGTGTCGCCATCAAGATCTTCTTCCTTTCCTGATAGGGAAGGTGCCTGGGTATTAGAACCAGAATGGATTCCAGAATCCAAATAGCAGCTCTGCTGCCACAGCAAAGTCTGCTGATCTTTGACAGAGGAACCCATGGGCATGTCGCCGTAGTTGCTATGTGACACTAAAAAAAAATTAGCAATTAGTATACATTACCAAATACAAACAATAAGTTAACAAAATAAATTGTTCAAATACAAAATAATCTTGATTTATTATAAGATACAATTAAAGTTTCATTAATTAATCCTATAATTAAGAAGTAGAGGCTAGATACTTGACAATAGGAAATATAAAATATGCGATTATCTAAATATCTAATAATAAGAGGAGCTTAACAAATAAAAGGATAAGGATGCTTTTATTAGAGTATTGTTCAACAGTTAACTGTTTTTATTTTCTTGTTTAATCAGAGATAGTTATCATAATCATTTAAGATGTTTAGGTAACTTGATGAAACTACATGATTTAAAAACAGATAAAAAATATTGTGCTAGAGATTACAGCCATAATAGCATAAAGAACATTGAGGAAGAACTTATTCTTTCGATGAAGAACATCTGTAAGCCTTGACTCTGAAAAAAACAAAAAATATCTGGAGATACTTACACTGGTTGGTCATCAAGTAGTGGAAAGGAACAGATTATCAATACATGAAAAAAAAAAAAATTGGAACTTGTCTTTGAGAAACGTTCTCTTCCATCGAATTACCAAATTTTAAAATAATAATAACAATTTCTCAGAAATCTGTACCAACTCCTGAAATCTAACCTTAAAGAAGTTAAGATAAATAACTATTATTTGATGACCAACTTTTATGAATATGTTCAGCATTCTCTTTACATCAACAAGATCAACCCCCATGCAATTGATAAGTCGTCTATTCATAGAAGCTAGGTGTGACCCAAAAATACATCCCGAACTATGAAGAGAACAAGAGTGCCCAGAAGAAGCTGTCACGGTACAAGTTGCACAATCATAATGTATAGGGAAGGGCACGAGTCATCTTCCTCAGTGGAGGGGAGGGGAAGAATGGGCAACCTGTTAAAGAACATATATTTCAAGTCACAGGTTCAAACCTGAATTGTTTGTCACACACAACAGAACCAGGTTTTCAGACCTGGTTAGTGCCTGAACATTTAAATTTTACTGAAATAATTTATACAACTTAAAGATACTTACTGGAAGTTCGATTTTGATAGCTCATTTTTGCCGCTTAACTCTTACTCCTGAGAAATCTTAAACAGCCTGAAACACAAACAATGTAAATGCACTATTGGAAAGCTATAAACAGAAAAATCTCAACTATCATAAAATAACAACAACACTATACAATTGAATTCGAATTATTAAAAAAAAATATATATAATAACTGAAAATGATATCCGGAAAGAAAAAAAATTCATTGGCATAATTAGATGAAGTGTTACTACTTTACAAGTGTTGTTCCACTATAATGGGTTATCACAAGAACTTAAGATCTCACACTGTAAATGGAAACACAAGAATGGATGCATATTGAAGTGTTACGAGTATGAATTTCCCTTCATCAAACTTACAACTTCTACAAACTCTGAACTGCTCTTTTTCAATTGAAATTGGGTCCTTGATTAACTTACATTACTCCTTTCGAGTTCGCTCAAAAAGAATAAACAAACCCCTAATGGGTCCTTTTCGGTTGGGGTTGGGACATTAACATAAGGTTTGATCACCTGTTTGCTTTCAAATATACTCAGCCATTTTTGGAATTCAATGTACAGTGTGATCAAATATATTGTACCCACCCATTACATTACAGCAGAGAAACACATGAAGTAGTACCGTTGAAGTTGTTAGTGAATGTGAGAAATAATCAATAATTTTTGATTTGCAACTGCCACAGTAAACCATTATGGTTAAATAGTATTATTTACCAGAAATTATGTTTATTTTCCACTTTCATCAACATAAATGTTGATTTCAACTTCTTTGTGAGGCTATTTTTTTAAACTATGTTCATATATAAAAGAAGAAAAGAAACACCTATATCTAAAACTAATCTATTGAGGAAACAGTGGTTTTAAATATAGTCCAGTTAATTTTAAAATTTGAAAACTTGTAAAAGAATAAGGATGCTTTTATTAGAGTATTGTTGAGTCAAATATTTCAGTATTAAGAACTACATCAGATACTAAAAAAAACAATAATAATAATAAGGCTCAGCGAACCCTAAGGTTCGACGCCGATACAACCAATCGATGTCCACATTCTTCTATCCACCGGGCTCCGTCTAAACCCAACTCCGCCAAATCAGGCTTAACGCAATCTACCCACCTTCGCTTTGGTCTACCTCTCGGATGCTTGCCAGTCAGTACAGCGCATATTAATTTTTTAGGAATTCTTTCGTTACTAAGCCCAGCGTTTTTACATGCCCATTTTATTCGCCTCAACTTAATCACCTCAATTATATTAACCCCATAAAGTTCACGCAATTCAGCGTTGTGTAACCGCCTAAATTCTCCGTCCTTTTTCAGTCCGAATATTCTGCGCAGTACTTTATTTTCAAAAACTTTAAGATGTTACTCCTCCCATAATGTAAGAGGCCATGTTTCGCATCTATAAAGAAACGTAGGAAGGATAATGATTTTGTAAATTCTAATTTTTAGGTTTCGGGGCAGGAGGCGAGAACAAAGTAATTTTGACAAAGAAAAATAACAAGAATTTCCCGCCTTCAGCCTAACCTTAATACCCTCTTCAATTTTGTTTTGTCTAGTTATCGTAGACCCTAGATACCTAAAATTCTGTATGTGTTCAAGCAAATTTCCTTCTAAATCAATATCATCTAACCATATATTAATAATAATAAATAGAATACTTAATTTATTAAAGTAATAAATCCAAGAGAACAATACAAATAAAAATATTTAGATTTCAAAAAATCAAGATTAACTGAATCTTTCACTTGAACTCATCCTCTTCCAAACAGAATTAGAGGAGTTAGCTATAATAAGTGATGATCATAAAATAATTAAGTTACCTAAATTATTTTAATTTCAATAAGATAGTAGAGCATTCAAATAAAAATACTAAGATCAAACAAATAAAATACCACAAAAATGAAAGAACGAAGACCTATAACAAAATGAAGTTCTTATATATTTTGTTTTTTAATTTAAAATAAAAAGAAAGAACAAACATTAATCATATCATGTACTCTTTTAAAAGAATCCCACATGTGAAGACTTAATTTAAGGAGGTTGGTCGGGGGAAGGGTGCAGCTAATAGACACATCCTATACAATGCAGATGCATTTATTTCATGTGCCTACATTTTGACCAACAACTTAGATCAATACATAGGCAAATGAAATAAACGCTACAATAATAAATAGTATGTTTCAATTGACCGCACGCAAGACCTTCACCTAAAATTAGAATTATAGTTAACTACTTCCATACCATTATAAAGACTAAATTTAGAGAGAAACCCCTACTTACATATAGAAAATCCATAAGAATTACAATAATATTATAAGATCGCATCCAATAAAGTTAGTAAAAAACAAGTTCACCATAAGCGTTATACAGAAATTGAAACGTCTAATAGCTATTCTGTAGTTTAATAGAGTTTTTAATAAACTAATCTGGTTTCAACAATTCCTGGTAAGAGTCAGAATATGACCAATACAGACACTTAACAGAAATTAAAGAGATAAAATTTTAATATCATATAATAAGGACATAAACAAAATATATCTGATAATATTTGAAAATCATTAGCTTTTGCTTTACATTTTCTTGTATGATGTATTCATAAAAACAATGTTATGCCTTACTATGAGATAATACTGGACCACCAATATGAAAAATAAAATGAAAAAAATTTGTTCAACTATTATAAAATTACATAAAATGTAACATTCAGTTTACGGTATTGACATACACTAGGAAAAAAAATTTATCTCTGTCTTTATTTTTCTCCTATGAATAAATTGATGTAAATTCACAATGTCAACAGCCTCACTGCTAACACCTGAAAGTGCAAAACTATAATATTGAGTAACGAAAAAAAAAATACTTCATGTATTTACAAATTTCTGTACAATTTTCATTGCAAGCTAAAAACAAAGAGGTAATGTTTTAAGTAAATTTTTTGGTATTCATTTCTGAATATATGAAGTCAAGATAGACCAGAGCAGTAAAGGACTTTAATCCAAGTCTTGGGCCGACAATAAAAAAAAGAAAAAGATAGACAAGAACTGATGAATTATAACTTTCTATAAAATTGTTCTTACAAGCTATTGCGGCTATGCTGTCAATAAACTACATTCATCTACCTAGGAATATATTATTTTTTAAATTTAAAAACATAAACGGCATCATAATAGTTCGTAAGTAATATCTTTACCTTAAAGGATGGAAAACAACTTTGAAATATAAATTTTTGGGACAGACAATCAGATAATTAAAAAGGACAGTTAATAGATCAAAGCAAATACTGACTTTCAATAAAATTAACTTTAATGGAACACCAAACAGCCTGATAAGGGCAAAATAAACATCGTTTCAACAAGTAAATACACTTATGCCAAGTGTCATTATTAAAATGACAACTTAAAACACTTCATAATTATTTACTAAATGTCAAAACAAAATTGTAAACAATTTACATGGCAAACGTGCATAAAATACTAGGGCTTTTCAACTCGTGAATTACTCCAAAATACAAAGAACTACCTTAAAAAAAAAAAAAAATGAGACATTGAAAAGTCAAAGAACTGATGACAGAAATGACAACAACTGAAGTTTAAACGGTAAACATACAATCAGAGGACGCATTAATAAGCAACTTACCTTGTTAAAGACGCCAAAATATGGCTAACCCAAGTCAAAATTAAATCCACCCACTAAATTCTAAGTATTTTAAATACACAAGTTAGTTGAAACTTGAGGTGCTTAGGGCGTATCGAAACATGGCGCGATCGATTTGAGTCATAGCCCACCCGAACCCTCTGCGCAGTACCACATTCCACAGCAAACATTTCCCAGGGCCTAATCTACATGGGGGTACAGTTAACTAGTGCAAATATGTACAAGGATTAAATGAATCCCCAGGCTATTCCATTACATTTTAAAATATACATATTTTAAAAATGAAAGGAAACAACAACGAAAATTATAATACTCTTCCATAACGTTAATTATGAAGATTAAAGCCACAAACCAATCGCTTTGTAGGATAAGTAAAACTACTAGGTGAATCAATAAATAATTTATATTAAATTAACAATTTTTTTTTAATATTTGTCTTTCAAGAAATAAAATGTATAGCTAAAGCAACTCAGTTGTGATCAGACGTATTTAATATGGATCTTCACTTAAATTTACAATAATAAAGAAATCATTGTATACAATTAGGATTTTATTGATTGGATTTACTATAGTGAAATTAATTATAAATATTTAGATAACCTCATGGCTCTAAAAATGAAGTGAATTTTTTTTTAATCCTGAAAAGTAAAGTGCAAGCATATTATAATGAAGAGGTGGTCCAGGGTTCGGCCATAAAAAACTACAAAAAGTCTAAACAAGGACTCTCCAAACTACGGACAGCAGGCCGGATCGAGCCGGTAAAGTATCATTGGTTACATGGTAATAATTTAAAATCATATAAAAAATATGAAATTCAGCAAATCACTCAAACAGGAGATTGCTATAACAATTATCGCACGAGTTGTTTCTCTTAGAGAGTTCATTTCACAACTAAAGAGTCAACAGTAGAACATGATTTTTTTTTCCTCGATAGCCATGGTCCGGGAACTGACTTAGTGGAGGTCTCAATATCGCCGCGGACTTAAAGTTTGGAGAATACTGGTCGTCAAAACTATTTGAAACGTCGGATCAATAAAATACTTCAAAATGACTGGAGATTGGCCTTAAATGCAGTAACAATCTTTGAAACGCGCAATGAATCCTAAAACATAAAATAAAACACTCCAAACTTGTCAAGAGATGCAATAAAGCAAAAAGAAACTTTTTCACCTAAAAAAAGCGCTATAAAACTAATTACTTTTTGTTTATATGAACACTGAAAAAAATTATAAATGGTATTAAGACTCAAATAAACAAATTGATTATAAGTCATTTTCCCTTACCTATTCTTCCAACAATTTAGTTTCAAGATATTTAACTGATGTCATGTTTTCATTGGTGAACTGCGGATCGAAACGAACCTATAAAATTTTGATAAGATTTTAGTCTACACTCTGG